GAATACCCTAGGTGGTTCATGAAACAACAGAAATTTCTCACTGTTCTGGAAAAGTGAGGTCCAAGAGCAAGGTGTTGGCAGGGTTGGCTCCTGGCTTGTGGACGGCGAGCTGCATTCTCTCTGTGTTCTCACAGAAAAGCAGAGAGAGAGGGAGTTCTGGTGTCCCTACCTATTCTTACAAGGGCACCAGCCCTGTTGGATTAGGGCATCACACTTATGACTGCACTTAACCTGAGTCAACCTCTTAAAGGCTCTATCTGCAAATGCAGGCACATTGGGAGACAGGGCTTCCATGCACGAAATTTTGGGAGTTCAGTCTATAATAGGCAAGTTCGCCCTCTCTGCCTCCCTTTCCTTGTCCATTAAGTTGGGCTAACAACAGTACCTACCTTATTGCCATAGGGACTAAACGAGTGGTACTTGTAAGTGCAGAGATGAAGCTATGCCTGGTCTGCAGGCATTCCATGGCCATAAGTTGTTACATACATTTTTAAACCAATTTTCACTTTATAGTCATTACTTCTTAAACTATACAATGCATCTCCAGATATTTCATACAATGAACCGACTAAGTCACTACTCCCTCTCGCCTCAGAAAATGACTATAAAAACAAACAAATGAAAAACACCATCTCTCTGGAAGCACATGCCGAGTTTTGTTCAGGGTTTCCTTTTTTTTGCATACATTGACGCTGCCTCTGCTTTGTCATAGAACTTCCCTGACTTGGTTACTTGCTCCCTCACTTTTATTTTGGTCAACATATCCCAGGAGCACCGAGAAATATAATCAATGTGAGATTTTTCCAATGCTTAGAACTTTTTCTTTATATTTTATAACTAAATCCTAGGCTCCAGCCAATGTCAACTTTCTGGGGACCCTGGGATTATGAGGCCAAGGTGAGAAGAGTACCAAAGGGTCTGGCTAAGAGGAGGAAAGAGAAAAAAAAGTTACTTAAATACAGAAAGAATAGGTTTGTTTTTTGTTTTTGTTTTTTTTTGTGTGTGTGTTTTTTGGCAAAGTTATGGGTCTATACAAGTAGCACAGTATTTTACACAGAGCCTAAGAAATGTAAGTTATTACTTTATACATAATTCTCTTAAGTACTTCACCTGAGTTAGAGTTCAACTTTTTAGCATTATAGTGCCTCCATCTCCAAGGGAAAGTACTGATTTCTTAACTTCTCTTTGGAACTTTAAAATGTGTCAAACTCAGAAGAATATTTTTGTGGGGAAAACTTCTACACAAGAGGATAAGGCACAGCACTGGCCTGAACTTAAAGTGACCATTACACTCCTTTTAAATTCCAAGAGATGAAGTTCTTAGAGCAAAACTTTGGAAGATGTTAAGCAAGGTCACTCACTTTACTCACATATAAAAGCTAGTCTGGCCATTTTCAGACTTAAGAAGTACAAGGCCACAGGAAATACAAAAAACCCCCCAAAAAACCCAGGTGTGCTTCTCTTTCAGCCAAGTCAAACACAGGTCCTTTGTGTACATTCAGTTCTTTGAAATGTACTAGAATTATTTTAAATTCTACTCTTTTAGCACCTAAAAACTAATCTGCTTAATTCTCTTGACAAAGAGTAGGTAATGCCTGCTCAATAAGAGGAGTTGTTAAAAGTCTAGCTTTACCTGGCAGTTTGGATTATTGGTATTACAAAGCAATTATTTAAAGTGGTAGCTCCTATGGTGCATTTAAGTATTTTATAAATAATTAACTGCTTGAGAGAGCTGGGAAACAGACTCTGGAAATAGAAATATGCATTCCAGGTAAAGTGTTTTTTTCTAAGAAAGGAAAAATAGAGTCTCAGAGGTTCTAAAGTTTTCTCAAAGGGGAAAGAAGTTTCTGTTCACAGAAAGATCTCAGGAACAATATACTGTGAAAAATGAGGCACACAGCTGTACTCAACTAGCCTTTGTTGCACCTGATATGGGCCAAGCCTCAGATGGGTACATCAGGTATTACTGCGTTTAATCCTTCAAACATCCCCTTGCCAATTAAAGGAAATTAGGATTAGAATTTTGCAATGATTTTCAGGACTTGTTGGAGCTGAGTTTTGAACTCAGGAAGGGGTCGTGCTCTTTCTATATTGGACAACGTCAATCCAAAAACTGAGAGAAAGTGATAAGGTTACCTGGAGGGACTGCTTCACGTCAACATGCTTTTCCTCAATTTCTTTGCCTTGTTTCCTTAAAAAGGCAAATTTCTTTAAAAATATGGATGACGTGTTGCAGTCAGTCAAGGCCAGGCAGGTCCATTGTGGATTCAGATGGAAGAAAGTGCACAGAGCAGTGGAGATGCTGGACATGCCTTTATTCACAGGTGGGCAAGCCACGCACGCTGTAAGCTGCGTTCTGTCTGCGTGTCCAGCGAGCAGTCTCTACCCTCCTAAGTACTAGACACAACAAAGCCGTCAAAATCCAGAACATGATATAACATAGCATGATTCTGTGCACGCGAGCCTACCTCATGTTATTGGTATCATTTATTGGACCCAGTCTCAAGGCTATGAGAACACTGCTTATCAGGTCCATTCAAGGTTGTGAGAAACTGCTTCCCTTAGTTACACAGACACCTGGGTGAGGAAGCCAGACTGCCTCCATCTACCCTACAGATGATTTTTTTAGGGTTTTTGTTTTTGTTTTTTTAACTGGGTAATGACCCATAAAAAGGTCAGGAAAAATGGTTGTCTCATTGTGGTATCTTTATTTAGACTATAGAAGTTTATTTTGCATTATACAGACTTATGAGTTATAGAGCCCAGGGGTACAGGGGATGGCAGGGAATGAGCTTAAAGGCAAATATATCCAAGCACTTTCAATTGAGTTATACTACAGGCTATAATAAGATGGAAACTTATTGATGAATTTCAGTTTTAATACTCACTAGAACAAGACATGTAGCTAGTTGCTGCATTGCATTAATACTGGCCTGTGAGAGCCTGGGAGTTCCAATGTTCCATTTTGGCCTTTTCTTATTAGGCATTATAATCTAGAGGTCTGTCATAGGATGATAGCTTGATTTGGGTAATCAGATCCTCTGTTGCCAAGGCTGCCAAGATTCTGAGAAACTGGATGTTATTTGCTACGCAGGGTAGAATTCAAGGTGATTTTCATATAGGAGCCACAAACACCATGGGACAACTTATTGAAACAAAGGAAGGAGCCAAGATCTGGAGAGGGAAGACCACAGGTCTTCGTTCTCCTTGGCTCCCCATACCAGGCTGGCTTGAGCAATTGTTAGTCTTGCTCCTGGAGAGTTTTCTCATCTGCAAAATAAAGATAGGTGATAGCACCGACTTTGAAGAATTGAGCCTAAAATAAGGTAACTCTCTCTCTCTGACACACAATCTGCTAGGCCTGGCTGGAGCACAGACATACATTGGGCACAGCCCCACTACAGTCCAAGAGGAGGGATAAGGCAAAGGGAAATGCATTGGGGGTACAATGTGGTAAGGCAGCAATTTTATAAACTGATTACTAAAATTCTTTGGCACACAAAATTATATATTTTTTGCTGATCTGTCAAAAAAGTAGGTATAATTTTGACTCATTCACACCGGACAGCTATTGTTGTGTTGGCTTTTGTCATTTTTTTTTTGTTTGACAACCTAAGGGAAAAGAGGTCAGTGCCCCAACTAAATAGTCAGGTATTGCATGTTTTAAAAATTCTTACTGCACACTGGTTGAAAATCTCTGGTTTAGGGGAAAGATCACCAAGAGAAATTAGGGATATTCCTAACCTTTGAGTTGGACCCTAAAAAAGATCTCTGGGATCTAGCCACATGGAAATGTAAAGAGAGGGAAGAAGGATGTGTATTCCAGGCTAAGGAATCAGCAGGAGCAAAAGCATGTAGGTGGGCTTTTCCTGAGGGGAATCGAAGTAAGAGATTTGGCTACCACAACTGCTATATCTTCTCTCTGCCTTCTGCAAAGTCAGCTCAGAAGCTGTTCATGAAAAAAGGTAGGTGTGGTGGAGAAAATTTCCAGCTCTGACCTATGTTTCCCAGGCATCATTTGTCTCCCAGGCTTGAATCCCCCTGTCACCCTTCCTCGCTCTGTAGTCCACCAGTCATCCGGGTGGATTTTATGTGTATCATTTACCCCCTCAGATAATAATCACTGTTGTCATCACCTCAGTGCTTAAGGGATCATTGTAGTACCTGTTACTCAATCCAGTGCTAGTTTTCTTCTGTGACAAAGTGATCAGTGAACTGTAAAGGGAAGCAACTTCAGTTAGAGTCATGAAAGAAGGTGCCTTCTTGAATCCTACCTGTGCTAATATCTTGACAGTTACCTTTGGGTATGTTCAGACTATGTAATTAGTTTTGTTTTTCTCCCCACCTCCATTCATCAGACTGTCACTGAGCAGGTTGCAACTGTCCATGTGAATGGGTTATAAGGGTCTTTGCCTTTAAGATAGTCTACACGGACTAAGACAATACAAAACAGAAAGTGATTAGGAGGACAAGAGAAAGACAGAATCTTTTGATGTTAGTATAATGACAGCCTTCTGTATCTTCCCCCGACCCCAATCCCACACCTACCCCCTTGAGTGGGTGTTAAAGGGCCTGTTCAGGAAGAAGTAGAATTAAACTTAAGCCTGGAAACATGGTGAGGGTTTAGTTACCTGGGTTCCTCACCCTCAGAGACTCACATAAACTCCTTGGAATATTTGCTTTTTTTTTTCCCCTATGAAAATCTGCATCTGGCCCATGGTTGGAGAGTAATAGGGAAAACTAGCTTTTACCTCTTAACCCACTTCGTGACTCGAGCTTTGTTGTGCGGGCCAGTGCCTCACAGTTACAACTTCACTAAGTGATGATGAGACTTTTCAAGGTTCTATATCTACCTGCTTGCAAAAGTATATAATTCTGTCTAGAATATTAATTAACTTCATAAACTTATAGAATTATATTAAAATGTTATTTTTTTAGGTTGAATTTTAGCCTGATGACTTCCCTTAACTTCACGGGGGTTTTGGTGTCTATTTCCTCAGGATGAATTCCAAACCTACTCTTGGAAAAAGGTAATGAGGATCTACCTGTCAGCACTAAACAATGGATTTCATCTCACTCCTGACCACCCTCTCATTACAGATGAGGAGTATATCATAAATAGAGCCATAAGAAAGCCAGACCTAATGGTAAGTACACTCATGACTACTGCTGATGCAAGAAATATTAAATCTTTTCCCCCAAAAATGTAAGATTAAATTCAGAGCCTCCACTGCGCTAATCCTGAGTTGACAGTGTAGGATATCATAAGCGCTTATGTGCAACCCTGATGACAACCTTGGATAAGGTACTCAACTTTGCCTACCTCTAATATTAACTATAAAATTTAATAAGTTAAGGAATACAAAGGTTTATATGGTGCCTTGTGTACAGTAGATGCTCAGTACATATTTGCTCTTGGTAGCATCAAAGCCTGTATTGTAATCTATGCAACAGAACTTATTTTACAGTAAAAATGATCACCCAGGAATGACCCACAGAGTCTGCTATGCCTGCAAGGTGACCTTATGTTGAATCTGTCATTCAAATGCATTTGAGGTACTCCTACCTCTCTATATTAAATGAGTACTGCTTAGATTATGATTAATTAACATTCATATCAAAAATGTATTTTATAAGACAGATAATTTTCTCTTTAATTTATATATGTGTGAACAGCTGTTTAAATTAGTTTTATGAGCTTAAGGTCAATTTAAAAAAATAACAGTCAATTGTTGAGCAGTTTCTGTATTGTCAATTGTTATTACCCAAATTGAACAAATAAAACAAAAACAAAAGAGGTCAAGTACCTCTAATATGTTGCTTAATCTTTTAGGTGGCCATTTGCCTGGAAAAATAAACATCCCAGGCCTGACATCTTCATTTACCAGCATAAGTCATATGCAGTTTGGCTAGTTACCTTGAGTTTCTTATTTATAAAACAAGAGTAATAACTCCATCTTTGCTTGTTTCTCAGGGCTGTGTGAACCTAAAATGAGAAGGTGGATATTAAAGTGATTTGTGAACTGTAATGAGCTATATTCTTAAAGGGCTGAAACTTCAATTAAAATTGGAGGAGATGTCACAGGCTAAGCCATGATAACACAGATGGCAGTAACAAAAAGACGAAATAGATAACCTGTCAGGGCCATTTAGGGGGAGTTGGAGACTGCAGCACAAGAACTTTGTCAAATTTGCAAATGCAAGCTAAGAGGAAACTCCAAGAAGCAGTGTTGTATGCAAGATCAAAACCCAGTGCTTACAGGGTGTTCTTACAACGTATTTCAATAAGAAATGAAGAGTAGGAAGCCTGGGGAGGGTAAGCTTCCTTGTTCTGAGCAGAAAGACGAAATTCATCCCACTGCAGGGCCCTGATTTTCTAATTACTATTTCCTAGTCTCAAGTTCCTGGAAATGGGCAAATAAACTCCACACCTTGCAAATGTAACGCTTTCTCTCTTACCAGCTTCTGGAGCCTCAGAAGGTGATGAGGGAAGCAGAGAATTTCTTAGGCAGCGATCTTTCCTGCTAGGGGACTCTCAAAGGTATTTAAAAGGTCTGTGACAAGTCATTCTTCTAACTCTGTGAGGAATGGCCTTAGAATTGTCAGGAGTTAATGGAATTTTCTACTTTCTGGCCTGAGGTAACACCAGTAACCTCTTTGTTTTTCATTATTGCTGCCTACTGCTGCTGATTTTTGTGTCTTTTATGTTTAATAAATTTTTCAATCTCAGTTTGTGGTTTTACAGCCTCTTGATCCAGGTTCTCTAATTTGGCAGGGGCCTCAATTCTATCATCATTTGTCCTTTAAAATTTTTCCAACGTAGATTTTGAACTTACAGACTTAATAAGGTAGAGAACCCTTCTTTTATACAATTTGAATCCTGGAATTTCCAGACCTTCTGAGACAAGCTTGACTATTAGATCATTCGAGAAACTGGACTTTGGCTCCAGATGGACTTGAGTTCAAATTCTAGTCTTGCTTCTTAATAGGTGTAATCATGGGCATGCCATTTAATCAAAATGAACTTTGGAGGAGAAGTGAAAATAAAAACAATATCTGTCCTATCACAGGGTGATAAAAGATAGACTAAAGATAAGGTGTAAACAGCTTCCAAGTACTCAATAAACAGTAACTATGGGCACAGTCCAGTTCCATTTGCAAAACTGTGGGAAATACTAGAAAGAAAAGGAAGATGTGAGGCAAGAAACTTGAGTTTTCAAGATGGGTTGTGGCAGATAACACACCCGAGGCTGGTTATCATCAAATACTCTTCCTCACTCCAACTTGTAGCTTGTGAAGGAGGATGACTCATTCCCAGTGGTAACTGATTTCAACTTTTCATACTGAAAATTAATTGGAAAATAAGATTTATTTTTTAAAAAGTTGTTATGCAGTCAACTTAACAAATAAATCCATTTTGTAAAATAGAAAAATATAGCATTTAACATTTTTAGTTGGTAACTATGTATGAGTGTGCATGTGTTTATGCACTGTGTACACATACATGCATTTATTGAACAGGGTTCAGATTCATTTGAGGCAACCTCAGTTATGGAACTGAGGGATTTAAACTCTACTTCTAGTTGACAGGTGGTTGTATGGAACATTCTATTATTTAATACAAAACGTATTGAGCACTTACTATATGCCACCTTTACGCCCTTCCCAGTTTTAGTGTTTATCTAGTGGTTATACCGACAATAATATTTATAGGTATAGGACATATTCAGAGGAGTTACAGTGAAACTCAGAAGTAATCTGGCCAATTGCCTCCATTTATTCATGGGCAAACTGAAGTGCAGAGAAGTTTAGTTGAATTCCTCAATGACATAATTACTGGAGTAGCTATGAAAGAAAGTCTTGAACACTGTTTTTCAACTTTGGCTGCACATTAGAAGTACCTGAGGAAATTTAAAGATATTTATGCCCAGGCTGCACCCTAGACAAATTAAGTCAGAATCAGTGTCCTTGTTGATGGTGATGCGCAAAATGCGGTCATACCCATTGCTCCACAGCAATACGACAATCTCACTGTTTTTCTGTGCTTAATTAGATCACCAGCTAATGGAAATTCAGATTCATATACAAAGTTGCTTAAGGAAATCAGAAACAAAAAGGTGTAATCAATACTCTGGTTTCTCTTGGGATCGTATAAATCTTTTGCCTTTTACAAAAAGGTGTAATTGCCATAAGCATTAACCGTTACTTCCTTTCCCACTACCGCTGTCCTCAACGCGCCACTTCCTGCCACACTTTTTCTTTCAATAACCCCCTCACTCTCTTCCAGTACCTGCTGCCAGCTTCATCTTTTTCGTGCCCCTTCTTTAGGCTACTCTGCAAGTTCACTGACTCTAAGATGAAGTCCTAAATACCTCATTCTAGCATTTAAGGCAGTGTAATCTCATCTTTATTTATCTTTCACCCTCATTCTCCATTCCTCCAAAGGGCACACTCACCTGCCCCTCCCCCACAACTAACTTGTGCATAATTTCTTTGAAATACTCTCTTGCTTTCTCATCTGAGCAAAATTCTTCCCATCTTTCAAGGCTGCAGCTCAGATGTCATCGACGATGCCTCTGTCATCTGCCCTCTCCATATTTCTACAGTATTTCAATGCTGTATTTTTTACTTTATTGCATTTTTATTTCTTTGACATGTACATATTTGATGGTATGATAAAGTTTTCTTTTTTGTAATATGTATTTTTCCTTGTTAGGTTATAATGTAGTGCAATACAGAGACTGAGTTTTATTCATATAATATCCATGTAGTAGTCCCCTGATATAGATTGATTGAATGATTACTTCTAATGAAATTGGAGTGCCATTTGTGTAGTGAGAAAAGACAGGATAAGTTGGGAAAAGATAAAATGTTAAATAAGTATAGTAGGGCTCTATCTTTGCTTCTCCTGCAAATGCTTCTTTAGCCATTGAGCTGCTATATATTTGACGATCCTCAAACTAGAGACTTTCTTTGTACTTTTCTTTTGTAGGTGAGATGCATAAAAGTGCAGAAAATAAGATATGTTTGGAACAATTTAGAAGGACAGTTTCAGAAAATTGGGTAAGTTCTTTCAGCAATTTTATCCAAAAAAAGAAAAATATTATCTCAGAAATAGTATTGCTAAATATGTCTTTCTTCTCTTTATTATTTTAGCTCTTTGGAAGACTGGCTCAGTTCTGCCAAGATACATCTAAAATTTGGATCAGGTTTAACAACAGAAGAACAAGAGATTAGGTACCATGCACCTTGTTACCTAAACCTGTTCCAAAGGACCCTTACCAGTTAGCCAAACAGAGAACCCAGTTAACAGTCATCTCAACTGGTTAATATCAGGGAACATTGTAATGCTCTACTTAATAGTATTAAACTAAACGCTTTCACATATATCATTTCACTTTATCAGAGCAGCTTTGTGAGGCAGGTAGAATAGACACCCTCTTCATTGCAATGTAACAGATGAGAAATCTGAGGCTTGCAGAGGTTTAATGGTCCACACAAAATCACGCAAATGGGAAATGATAGAGAAATAACTGAGTCTCACGTTTCTGGCTGTGGGTTTGATGCTCTTTATATTCTACACAAAGCTTCTCAAGATTATTATAATAATAAGGTTGAGCCAGTTTTGATTATAATCAGGAAATATATATTATGCTATGATAACATAGTTGAATGATAATTGTGGAGCAGCAGAAAAATATCATGCAAGGCCCGTAGCTCCACTATTCCAAATCAGTCACTGGGCAGAAGAGCAAGTTTTAGGAAAGGCGTTGTACTGAATATCAAAAGTCTGTGGCTTTGGGCAAAGAGTTTCTCCACTCCTGGCTTTTGTTTCCTAATGGTTAAGAGGCGGAAGAGAACTCTATAAAGGTCTTGCTGGTTCTAAGTTTCTATGATACTCACATGCCCCTCTACCCCATTTCCTGTACTTTAAATAGATATAGAGCTTTGTAGCATCAGCATCACCTGAGAGCTTGTTAGAAATGCAGAATCTTAGGTCACATCTCATCCCTACTGAATCAGAATCTTCATGTTGACAAGATCACAGAGTTATCTGTGTGGACATTAAAGTTTGAGAAGCACTACTCTAATACATTCGACCAAACTATTTGATCTGAATATTTTTGTATAAGTCACGGAGAAAGTGATTGATGTTCTCAACAGCAAAATAGCTCATAAAAGATTATTGCTGTAATAATCAAAGAAACACATCTTCGAGTTTTCAATTAAAGGGCTCTGTATAATTCTGGGCAGAGCTCTTTTTGAGAACACAACACCTTCTCACTCACACTGAGACAAATTTTGCAGCCTCCTAGAACTGATTGGGAGTAGGACGGCAGGTTCAGGACCCCTTACCAGTAGAATTACTCTCTCCTGCTGATCCCTCCCTCCCACTTCTATGGAGCCAGAGTCAGGGAGAATCAGAGTTGAGAGAATGCCAATCCCGAAACACTTGAATGAGACAATCTCTAATATTAAATACCCAAATTACCCTGAGGGAAATATTTAGACCTCAGAAAGAGTCTAGTTTCATAGATGCAATATGATTATGTTTATTGTTTTGGTGCCTAGGAACCCCCCTCCACTCCAGTTATTTTGAGAAGGATGTGGGTGTTATGTAATAAGAAAGGCTTATGTTGATCCCACAAGTGAGAAGGTAGACATGAAATAGAGCTTTTTTTGAAGGGGCAAGAAATAAGTTTCATTTTTGTTATTAGTAACTGAGTGATCTGTGATCTCTCCCTATAGGAGGTTAATATGTGGCCCTAATAGTATTGATGTTGAAATCACACCAATTTGGAAACTGCTCATCAAGGAGGTAATATTACTTTCTTTCAGTGCTAGATAGAAAAGAAAGAAGTTTGGTTGTGGTCAAACGATCAAGAATACTACTTATTAATAGGTAACTGTAATTTCGGATATTTTAAAAGAATGACAAACATATGTTTTATATCACTTTTTACTCTTTTTCTCGAAGTCCATCTTTTGCACACGTTGCCTGGCACTGTATAAAATACGATGCTCATGTGTCTACTTACTCCCTACTGACTGTATAAAGATGAATTCTTTTTCTTTTTTAATCCTTTGTTTCTTAGTCTGTCTCAAATTTGTGAAATTAAAATAATTTAAGAAATCAAAAAATCTATTTTTTTCTTATGGGAAACATACAATTTCCTGAACATCCAAAATTATAGAAAGAAAAACATCTGTTTAGCCTTATTAGTTCTACTGATCTCAAAGTGTGTGAGGGAGAAAAAGAAGGATTTGGCCTTTACTTATTAAACTGAATGTTTCCTTTTTGGCTCTATTACTGGGCTTATTTTTTATTTTATAGTGATTATTCAGAAATTATAATCATACAGCTGTGCTCTGGGTTTTCTCCTGCACTTGACCTCCACTCCTTCTTGCCTTAAAAAAAAATCTTATACACTTAAGGTACTTTCCCAATATTTCTAGCAAGCTCTCAGGCATGAAAAAAAGCAAAAGAAACTGGTAGTCAGAACTCCTGTGTACTTCTTCCCTAACCAGAGGCAAGAATTACCATTACTGTTTAAGACAGAGGGGAATTTGAATGACACAAAATGTTTTCAACCATGGCAGGATTACCACTGTTGGAGTTAACCTCTACTTTCTCCTAGTGTTATAGATGCTCAGTTATAGCATACCACTTGCAACTTTGCTCTTTGCTTATGAGAAAATACCACCTTCAACTCATCCATTAATCTGAAAAAGTACTTTAACGGCTTCAAATATGGCAGATATTGCATCATAGAGAACTGTAGACTAGAAAGCATTTTAACTTCATAAATTTGAATATTCCATTCTTCTGAAGGCCAGTGAACTGGCCATGATAATATCTACTCCTTACATAACTGTTCTGATGGTCAACATGAGGATATGCGTGGCACTACTTTGTAAATTATAAGGGCAGCAGTGTTTGAAAGTAGGTGCTCTGGAGTCAGATTGTCTGGGTTCAAGTCCTAGTCTGTGATAGTCACAGCTGTGTGATCTTGGGCAAGTTTCTAAAGATCTAAGTTTCAGTTTCTTCATCTTTACGATGGAGATAAGTAATGACATCTGGTTAATAACGTAATTATGGGAATTAAATGAGCAAATTCAGGCAAAGCTGCTTAGTGCAGTACTTGGTACATGGCAATTGCTGAATAAATATAACTAGAATAGGAGTATTGTGTGGCATGACTTATGTCAAAGAGATAATTATGAAAACAAATGTCAATGAATAGCTAAGTGTGAAGCCTAAATATCTCCCTTGTCTTCTTGTTTTTGTGCCTGCCAACAGGTTTTAAATCCATTTTACGTATTTCAACTCTTCAGTGTCTGCCTGTGGTTTAGTGAAGACTATAAGGAATATGCTTTTGCCATCATAATTATGTCTGTCATTTCCATCGCCTTGACGGTGTATGATCTTAGAGAGGTAAGTTTTTTGACTAATCTTACGGTCTCAGAAAGAGAGCAGTAGTAACTTTATTGAAATTCTGTTGGAAAGGAAAATCAAGAAACAGTCACTGCCCACTCATAATAAATGAGACCACATTTGTAAATACCTAGCACAATAGCTGTTGCCCAAAAACTGTCCTTTTCTCACATTCCAGTTCCTAAACTTTCAAGTTATTTTTGCCCTCTCTTTGACTTACTCAGCCTGATTAGCCAGAAGATGATGCAAAGATTTATGAATTGTGAATAAGTGAAAAAAATAGAGAGAGAGAATACTGATGGATGTTGAAGACAATAGAAAAGGGGTGGAAAATGGAGGAGTCTCTTTAACATTAATTTTTTGCTTTTTGTGTTTGGTTGGTACTTACTTGTCAATGCCCCAATTCATATCATGGCTTTCTTTAGGTCTACATCAGGGGATGTAGGTGCTTTTGGAAAAAAAAAAATCACATAGAGGGATCGGTTGTTTGCACTATAAACCAATACCAATATCATCTGGGCAAGCTTTCTATATGTCTCTGGTCCCATTATTTGAAATTAAGATTCCAAACCAAATTTCTCAAGTTTCTGAGATGCCTAGTGGCCCATATTCTACTTTTCCTCTGATTCAGCAGACAGTCTTATCACTTGTTTTATAAAGACAGAAGCCATAAAGCAGGATTTGCTCAACTCACCCTTTGCAACTGCCAAATGACCCTTGTCTCCACCTCCATCCTGCCTTGATCCCTCATTACAGAGGAGAAAGTGCCCTCTGCCTGTCTTGAGATAGCATCCTCTCCAGCCTTCTCAGAGCGCTTATTCAGTCAACAGATGACCCCTTCTCGTTCTCTCTCCTTGATGCCTTCTCATGAGCCCTGAAACACACTCAGGCTTCTCCCAACTTCAAAAGAAATGAAACAATCTTTTCTCTTGAACATTCTGTTACCTTGACCTACTAGTCTATCTCTCCTCTCCCTTTTACAGAAAAATTTCTTGAGTTCTTTGTGCACACTGTCATCATTTACTCATCTCCCTCTTACTTTTCACCTATTCTGACCTGGATTACTCTCTCATGAATCCATTCAAACAACTCTTGTTAAGGTCACCATTATGATCTTAAGGCCCATAGACAGTTTTAATTTTTTTTTTAAAAATTCTGTTTTACAACTAGTTATGTTTTCTTAATAGAAGGAGCAATATATATGGACATGATTAAAAAAATCCAAACAGAATAAAACAGGGTAAATGAAAAGTAAATATTCCTCCCATTTTAGTAGTCCCCATTGTCAGGTTTCCTTTCAAGAGGCATCTACTGGGACCAGATGTTCTATATACTTTCAGCAATATTAAACACATATACATTAATTTGTTTTACACAAACAGAAGTACACTATCTATACTGATATGCACTTGCACCTTTTTTCTGAGTAAATCTTGAATATCTTCCTATAAGTGCACAAATATATTTTCTCTAGGTGTACCATAATTTTTAAACCAGTTTTATATTGATGGATATTAGGCTGTTTCTAGTCTTTTGCTATTAAAATAATGACACAATGATGATTCTTGCATGTGCGAGAATCTTTTCATGAATCCACATATATGTATGTTTATAAATATATACAAATTACAAGTATATAATTTATATTACATATAAATACATGTGTATGTAACAGGTATATATATATATGCTTATCTATGTCTATATTAAAATTACCTAGTCATGAGCTAGGTATAATATTTTAATAAATGATGTCCAAATGTCTTTTAAACAAGTAATACCAATTTACATCCTACCAACAGTTGATGAGGTGTTTGTTTTCCTTATCTTTGCTAATATAAACAAAAATAGAATCCCATAAATGTAATAGCATGTTTTCCACTAGGAGTTGAGCACTTACTCATGTTTTAAGCTATTTGCATTTCATTTACTACAAACTGTAGTCCTATGCTTCATTAATTTTTACTGGGTTGTTGGTCTTTTGCTTGCTGATTTTACGGTCCCCTTCCCGCAGTGGACACTTATAATCCCAGCACACATTTCACTCAACTTCTCAGTTGTGTTTGGCACAGCTAACGGCTCAAGTACTTTTTTACCAAGTACTCTTTTCCTTTGGCTTTGTTGACAGCACGCTCTCCATGCTCTCTAGTTGCTCTTTTCTATTCTCATTTCAAGTTTATCCTCCTCCACCTGGCCCCCCTTTAAAAAAAATGGGTGTCTCAAAATTAAAACAATATGAAAAGGTAGACAGTGCATGTTCCATCTTGTATATGCTGTGTGTTCCTTCTTCCTCTCCCCCTTCCATTTGTTCAATCACTTTTATTAGTTTCCAGGGAATTCTTCAAAAAATTTTTTTTGGCAATTAAAGCAAGTATAAATATCTAATTTTGTTTTTCGTATTTTCTTATGTAAAGGTAGCAGAATTATATTATTTTCTACCTAGCTTTATTATTATTAACAATATGTCTTGAGGGTTTTTCCCCATATGACTACATTCAGAGATCCTTCATTATTTTTACAGCTGCATATACCAATGACTCCTAAAGACATATGCTAATGAATTTTAAATCTATCTATCTATCTATCTATCTATCTATCTATCTATCTATCTATCTATCTCTCTATCTATCTATCTCAAGTCTAATACCTCTTCTGAGTTCCAGACTAAGATCCCACAACCTATTTCTTTCAATGTCACTCCTTCAGGAAAGATTTCTACTGCTTCCATTTGCTATATATGCTCCAAAAAATGCCTTATTTTTTTTCCTTTTATTTCTGATTGTAATGATAAATTTACATATATGGGTATTTGATTAAGTGTATTACTCTGAGAGGGTTGTAAACTCCTTGATGATAAGAACCAAATTTTTTTTTATTGTTGACCATTAATTCTATCCCCAACTGTTAGCATATAGTGCCAGGTACATAAAGTTTGTTCAATAAATGTTGAGTGAGTGTATAAGTGAATAAAGGAATGAGTTAATAGCAGAATACTCTTTCTTTACCATTATCTATTCTGTTAATCATTCTTAGGACATATTAATCATATTTGTAAATGATTTAAAACTAAGAGATTTAAAGAGTATCTTAAATGACAAAATCAGAATAAAAAAAATATGTACTAAATGATGGGGAACTTTAGTCCCCCAGGACCTCGTAAAGGTTTCTCACACAAAGTTGCTTAATAAGTATGAAATCAAACATAATTTTATTTTATTTTTCTTTTGTTTCTTCTTATTGATTCACTCTCAATGTCCCATATATTTAATATATTAGAATGATAAATACTACAAGAAAATTGTAGGAACCACCAAACTTTTTATAAAGTTATAGATTAAGAACTCTGATGTAGGATGTCCCAAAACTGAAGTAAGTCTAGTTCTTGAAGATATTTAGTATAAACATATATCTGAATGACCGAAGTTCTTGATATTATTTATCTACTTAAAAAACTGAACACAAATTTATGGATATCAAAAACTCTTTTGTGTGGAAGAGCATGCTGGGAAATTCCTTTCTACTAAAGAATATATACCTCTTACTGCTGGGTGAAGAGCACAAATTGAATGCTTTTATAACTGAGTAATAAGCTACTCAGTCTTGTTTTTAGCCAATACATCCAGTCGGCAACAAGATAGTGCTCCATCTTTAAAGAAAGCTAGCACTGTACTGAATAATACCTGGGACCAACTCTCAAATAAATAAGCCTCTTTCTATTTTTCCTCCTTTTCAGCAATCTGTGAAACTCCACCGTCTAGTTGAGTCACATAATAACATTACAGTCCCTGTATGTGGGAGAAAATGTAAGTATCATTAATTTATATCTATGTATTGTTTGTATGGAATCAGAAAAGTATTTAAATTTATATTTCTAATGGTTCCTACTACTCTCTTTTCATCGCTTCCTGTGCGTTTAATTAAAGAGATAAGAAACTGAAGTTCTTTTCATCTTAAAAAACCCCCAGGTTTATTGAGGTAAAATTGACATAGTATAAACTGAACATATTTAAAATATACAATTTGATAGTTTTGATGCTCCCCCATGAAATTATCACCAAGATAAAGATAATGACTATCCATTATTCCCCAAAGTTCGCTTGTGCTTGATTATAAATCTTCCCTTTTAACCTTTCTACCTATTGCCATCCTCAGGCAACCGGTTTGCATGTTTAGAATTTTGTATGAATGGTATTGTACAGTATGAATATTTTTGTCTTTCATAATATATTTTGGGTTAATTTTATTGGGATTAATGTTTATAAATATTTTAAAATTTATCCATTTTGTTAAGTATGTCAATAGTTCATTTGTTTTATTCCTGAGTAGAATGTCATTGTATGGATTGGTTCATTCATTCACTTGTTTATGGAAATGTGGGTTGTTTTCACTTCTTGGCTATTACAAGTGATGCCACCATGAACATTTGGGTTCAAGTCTTTGTGTGGACATATACTTTCATTTCTTATGGGAAAATACCTAACAGTAGAAAGGTAGATCATGTGATAGAAAAACGTTTAACTTTTGAAAAAAACATCAAATTGTTTTCCAAAGTGGTTGTACCGTATTATATTCCTACCAGCAATGACTGAGTGTTCCAATTGCTCCACATTTTTGCCAACACTTGATATGTTATGCTTTTTAATCTTAGCCTTTTTAACAGGAATATAGTTAAATCACATTGCTGTTTTACTTTGCGTTTTCCTAATGACCAATGGCATTGAATGCCTTTTCAATCATATGGTATTTGTCTTTCGCCACCTGGCTTATTTCACTTAGCATAATGCTCTCCAGATCCAGCCATGCTGTCGCAAAGGGTAGGAGCTCCTTCTCTCTTTCTGCTGCATAGTATTCCATTGTGTAAATGTACCATAGCTTTTTGATTCAGTCATTACAGACAGGAACTTAGGTTGCTTCCAGCACTTGGCTGTTGTAAATCATGCTATGAACATTGGGGTGCATAGGTTCTTTTGAATTGGTGTTTCAGGATCCTTAGGGTATAATCCCAGCAGTGGAATTGCCAGGTCAAAAGGCAGTTCCATATTTATTTTTTGAGGAAATTCCATACTGTTTTCCTCAGTGGCTGCACCAGGTTGCATTCCTACCAACAGCGTACTGGGGTTCCCTTTTCTCCACAACCTCACTAACACTTATTGTTTGTTGATTTGTTTATGATAGCCATTCTGACCGGTGTGAAGTGCTATCTCATTGTGGTTTTAATTTGCATCTCTCTGATGGCTAGTGATGCTGAGCACCCTTTCATATGTCTCTGGGACCTGTGTATGTTCTCCATGGAGAAGCATATGTTCAAGTCCTTCATCCTTTTTTAAATTGGATTGTTTGTCTGCCTGGAGTGGAGTTGTATGAGTCCTTTATATGTTTTGGGGATCAAATCCTTGTCCACGGTGTCATTGGCAAATATATTTTCTCATACATTTGGTTCCCTTTGCATTTTGCTGTTGTTTTTTTTTTGTAGCTGTGCAGAAGCTTTTTATTTTGATGAAGTCCCATTTGTTCATTCTTTCCTTTGTGTCCCTTGCTCTAGGGGACATATCAGTGAAAATATTGCTGTGAGGAATAGCTGAGATTTTCCTGCCTATGTTCTCCTCCAGAACTCTTATGGTGTTAAGTCTTTTATCCATCTTGAATTTATTTTTGCGTATAGTATAAGTTGGCAGTTGAGTTTCATTTTCTTACATACAGTTGTCCAGATCTCCCAATACCATTTGTTGAAGAGGCTATTTTTATTCCATTTTATGCTTCTGCCCCCTTAGTTGAATATTAATTGACCATAGAGATGTGGGTTTATTTCTGGGCTCTCTATTTTGTTCCATTGATCTATGTATCTGTTCTTATGCCAATACCAGACTATTTTGATTACAGTGGCCTTGTAATATAGTTTGATGTCAGGTATTGTGATCCTTCTTACTCTGTCCTACTCCTTCAGAATTGCTGCAGCTATTTGGAGTCATTTATGGTTCCTTATAACTTTTTGAAATCTTTGTTCTATATCTGTGAAATACGTCATTGGTATTTTAATAGGGATTGTGTTGAATCTATAAATTGTTTTGGGTAGTATGGACATTTTGATGATGATAATTCTCTCAATCCATGAACACAGTATATGCTTCCATTTGTTTGTATGTTCCTTAATTTCTTTCTTCGGTGTTGTGTAGTTTTCTGAGTACAGGTCTTTTAACTCCTTGGCTAAGTTTATTCCTAGGTACTTTATTCTTTTTTGGTTGCTATAGCAAATGAGAATTTTTTTCCTGATTTCTGTTTCTGATATTTTGTTGTTGGTGTATAAAACTGCCGTCAATTTTTAAATATTGACTTTGTATCCTGCTGCTTTGCCAAATTCACTTATTAGGTCGAGTAGTTTTTTGGTGAAGTCTATAGGGTTTTCTATGTACACTATCACAACATCTGCAAACAATGACAGTTTTACTTCCTCCTTTCCAATTTGGATGCCTTTTATTTCTTTTTCTTGTCTGATTGCTGTGGCTAGGGCTTCCAATACTATGTTGAATAGAAGTAGTAAAAGCAGATGTCCTTGTTTTATTCCTGACCTTAGTGGGAAAGTTTTTAGTTTTTGGCCATTGAGTATGATATGGCTGTAGGTTTTTCATATATGGCTTTTATTATGTTGAGGTATGCTCCTTCTACTTCCACTTTGCTGAGTGTTTTTATCATTAAATGCTTTTTCCGCATCTATTGATATGATCATGTGGTTTTTGTCTTTACTTTTGTTTATATGATGTATTATGTTTATTGATTTGCAAATATTGAACCATCCCTGCACCCCTGGTATAAATCCCACTCGATCATGGTGTGTTATCTTTTTAATATATTGCTGCATACAGTTTGCCAATATTTTGTTGAGGATTTTAACGTCTATGTTCATCAGTGATATTGGCCTGTAGTTTTCTTTCTTTGCTGTGTCTTTATCTGATTTTGGGATTAGGATGATGCTGGCCCCATAAAAAAATTTTGGTAGTTTTCCCTCTTCTTGAATTTTTTGGAATAGTCTGAGAAGGACAGGGGTTAGCTCTTCCTTAAATGTTTTGTAAAATTCTCCTGTGAAACTGTCTGGTCCAGGCTTTTGTGTACCAGGAATTTTTTGATTACCGCTTCAATGTCACCAGCTGTTATTGGTCTGTTCAAGGTTTCTGCTTCTTCTTGACTCAGTTTTGGAAGATTATATGTTTCTATAAATTTGTCCATTTCACCCCATTTATTAAATTTCTTGGCATATAGTTGTTCATAGTAATTTCTTACAAGCCTTTGTATTTCTATGGTATCAGTTGCAATTTCCCCTCTTTCATTTCTGATTTTGTTTATTTGGGTCTGCTCCTTTTTTTTTGGATAAGTCTGCTTAAAGGTTTGTCTATTTTGTTTGTATTTTCAAAGAACCAGCTCCTGGATTTATTGATCCTTTGAATTGTTCTTTTAGTCTCTATGTCATTTAATTCTGCTCTGACCTTGATTATTTCCTTCTACTTGCTCTGGGCTTTGTTTGTTGTTGTTCCTCCAGGTCTTGTAGATGTAGGGTTAGGTTGTTTATTTGAAATGTTTCTTTTCCAGGTAGGCCGGTATCACCATGCATCTCCCTCTCAGGACTGCCCTCGCTGTGTCCCATAAGTTTTGGACTGTTGCATGTTCATTTTCATTTGTTTCCAGAAACTTTTTGATTTCTTTCTTGATCTCACTATTGATGCATTATTTGTTTAATAGCATGCTATTCAGTCTCCACAAGTGTGAATATTTTTGAGTATTTTCCTTGAGGTTGGTTTCTAGTTTCAAGCCCTTGTGGTATGAGAAAATGCTTGATGTGATTTCAATTTTCTTGAATTTGTCGAGGCTTGCTTTGTGTCCTCTCATATGGTCCATGAAAATCTTCCAGGTACATTTGAAAAGAATGTGTATTTTGCTTCTTTGAAATGAAAGGTTCTATATGTATCAATTAAGTGCATTTGATCTAATGCATCATTCAGTTCCACAATATCCTTGTTGATATTTTCTTTGGAAGACCTATCCATTGGTGACAGTGGGGTGTTAAAATCCCCTAGTATAACTGTGTTACTGTCTATATCTTTCTTGAAGTCGTCCAAGATTTTCCTTATATATTTGGGTGCTCCTATGTTGGGTACATATGTTTACAATAGTTATGTCTTTTTGATGGATTCTTCTATTGAGTGTTATGAAGTGTCCTTCGGTATCTTTTTATGGACTATGTTTTGAAGTCTATTTTGTCTGATACAGGAATTGCTACCCTGGCTTTTATTCCCTGTCTGTTTGCTTGGAATATTTTTTTCTAACCTTTTACTTTCAGCCTGCGTGGGTCTTTTGTTCTGAGATGAGTCTCTTGGAGACAAGACATGTGAAGGTCATATTTTCTTATCCATTCAGCTACCCTATGTCTTTTGATTGGAGCATTTAATCTATCTAAATTTAAGGTTATTATTGATAGGTACTTATTCATTGCCATTTTACCTCCTTTGTACCTGTGTTCCTCTGTCTCTCACTCTTTTTCTTCATCTTCTTAAAGCAGTCCCTTTAGCATAACTTGCAAGGCTAGTTTGGTGGAAGTGGACTCTTTTAGCCTTCTTTTGTCTGGGAAGCTCCTTATTTTGCCTTCCATTTTAATTGAGAACCTTGCTGGATAGAGTAATCTTGATTGCAGTCCCATCATTTTCATTACTTGGAATATTTCTTGCCATTCTCTTCTGGCTTGTAGTGTTTCCGTTGAGAAGTCAGCTGCTAGCCTTATTTGGTTTCCCTTATATGTTACTACCTTTTTCTCCTTTGCTGCCATTAAGAGTCTCTCTTTGTCTTTGAATTTTGCCATTTTAATTATGATGTGTCTTGGAATAGGCCTCTTTGGGGTCTTCTTGATTGGGGCCCTCTGCGCTTCCTGGATTTGTGTGACTTTTTCTCTCTTCAAATTAGGGAAGTTTTCCATCATTACCTTTTCAAACAGGTTTTCTATCCCTTGCTATACTTTTTCTGGTATCCCTATTATATGGATATTATTACATTTTGTGCTGTCCTGCAGTTCCTTTAACCCCTCTTTGTTCTTTTTTATTCTTTTTTCCTTTTCTTGCTCTTTCTGGGAGTTTTTTTCTACCTTGTGCTCCAGCTTGGTGATTTGCTCCTCTGCGTCATCTAGCCTGCTTTTGATTCCTTGTACTGTGTTGTTCCATTCAGAAATTGTATTCTTCATTTCCTCTTGGTTCTTGTTGATTGTTTCTATGTCCTTTTTCATGCTGTATAGTTTGTAGTAAGTTCCTTGTAGCTTCCCTGTAGGTTTTGGTAATACTCACTGAACTCATTGAGTTTCCTTATAACCATTGTTTTGAACTCAATGTCTGAGAGTTGACTTGCCCTTATTTCATTTAGCACTCCTGAGAATTCCTCCTTTCCTTTTGAATAGGGTTTGTTATTTGTCTTCCCATTACTTGTGAGACTCTTCTTGTTTACTTCTTCTTCTTAAAATGCTCTGTTTTTACTCTCTGACTTTGTGATGTGACCTATGGTAGGAGACCTGTGAGACTCAGTGGTGCAGTCTCCTTGATTTCCTGAAATTGATGTTCTTGGGATGTCCTTTATGCTGTTTATGTTGGATTTCTAGATGGAATTGGGTTTTGATTGTTGTTGGGTCATTCTTTGGTAAGTCCTTCCCTCCAGCTGGTTGACTGAAGGTCACTCCACACACCACGTCTTGTATGCTGTTGTGCAAGTGCTGCTAGAACAAAACCACAAAGCCCAGGAAACAAATCCACATCTGCAAAAATAACTCCCCCTCCACAATCCCACTATCAGCAGCAAATGAACCAGTATTAATAAAGGTGTAAAGAGGTTAAGACTATTATAAAAAAGAGAGAGAATACGAGATGACCTACTGAAAGAAAAACGATTTTGAAAGGGTAGGGGAAGGAACACTAATAAGAGTTGGGAGTTGGAGCAATGGGAAGAGAGAAAGTAAAATTTACATCATGATTAAAAGAGAGAATGAAGGAGGCAGAATATGCACAAACTTGATGGACAAGAAATGAATGTTAAAAAGCTATGTAGTAAAAAAAATATCACAGGTCATGGAGAAGACCACAGTAGATTTCGTGTCAGTGGCCTCTAGTATTTATCACTGTTTTTTCTTTCTGGATCTGCCTCTGGTGATGTCAGGCGTTGATCCATTTGACCTTAGGCAGTCTGTTGGAGATGTCCTGGGACCTACTGTCTGTGGCTGTCTTTTACAGTTGTTAATCTAGTCCCTCTGCACTCAGCAGTCAGGCTTAACCACAAGGTGGGGCAGAGCCCCTCCAGGGGTCAGGGCTATTGCTTCCCCTCAGGCTGCTGCCACTGGGAGGCGAGTGGTCTGCCTGAGCAGGATGGCTGCTGCCACAGGGGGGACAGAATATTTTTTAAAGTTCTTCTTTTTCCCTGTTTGTGGTATATCATTAAGTATGCACAGTGAAACTATACTTTAAAAATCATATTTTAATAAATAAATAAAAACATGGGAGGCTTGACTTATAAAAAATCATATTTTAAAGTCACTCAAAATATTCCTTTTGTGTATGGTTAAACCATCAACATAATAGGTTTTTCACATTCATTTTGCTGTATACTTTAGTATTAGCTTTCCATATTTAATTTTGTGTTATTTTGTGTAGCTATCATATAAAATATATACATGACTTGGAAGTTAAATCTGTAAGCAGAAGATATTCAGGTGATTCTAGTTTCTATCACTTTTCTCTCTACCTTATGTACTCATTCTCTCTATAGCTATCATTTTTGTTTGTTTTTGGTTTATTCTTACATTAAAACATACAAACAAATTATATATAATATTTATACTGCTGTTTTTTAGATAACAGAAGTATAACATACACATTTAACTTTATTTCCTGGTGTGTATGCTTTACATTCTTACCTATGCTTCCTAGAGACCCTTTCATAGATATGTATATATTCATTCTTTGTTTCACCTGCATAGCACTGTCTTGTGTAGAGGAATCATTTACTCAATCAGTTCTCTACTGAAAGATTTTTTTTTCCAGTTTGTTACTATTATAAATAGTGCTGTAATAAAAAAGCCTTGTGCCTGTCTTTTCATACATTTTTTGGGTCTTTTCATACCTTTGCCAGTCTATCTTTGGTATAGACTTTGAGAATTGCTGAGTTACAGAATAAAAGCATTTGTACGTTGGAACAGATTGACAGCTGTCAGCGGGGAGGAGACAGGGGAACAGGATGAAATAAGGTGAAGGGATGAGCCAAAGAACATACATGCATAATTTAGGGACACAGAGAACCGTATCCTGGCGGCTGGAAGGGAGGGGCTGGGGCATGGGTGGTGGCAAGCAAAGGGGGGAGAATGGGGACATCTGTAATCATGTCAACAATAAAAAATAATAATAAAAATAAAAAATAAAAGATAGATATTGCCAAATTTCTTTCCTTAGACTTTGTACTAGTTGGCATTTGAACCAGAAATGGGTGGAAGTGCCTATTTTCTCACAGCTTTGCCAGTAGACTTTTAGATTTTTCTAATCAGATAGGTGAGCAATGTTATCTCTTGTATATTTTTCTTTTTTTCTTTCTTTTTAACTTGCAGATTTGTTGCAAGACTAGTTCAAATCCCTTTTTTTCCTGAGCTATTTGACAATAAGCTGCTGACATGGCTCCATAACCCCCCATACTTTAGTGTATGTTTCTTAAAGACAAGGACATTCTGTATAACTGGCAGTACAAACATTAACATGAAGTGAATATTGATATATTAATTCCAAAAAGTGCTTAGACCCATTCAAATTATACCAGTTGTCTCAATCATGTTCTTTATAGGAAAGGACTGAGGATTATACAATAATGTTATTTGCAATGTCTCTTTAATCTTCATTTTTTTTCCTTTGACTTTTATGACCTTGACTCTTTGATTTGGTTATTTCATAGAATTTCTCTCAATTTTGTTTTGTTTGGTGTTCCCTGATAGTTAAATTCAGGTTATGCATTTTTTTTTTAAGCTGGAGTATCACAGAAGTAACGCTGAGTTCTCACTGCTTCCTTACATGTGGTACATAATTTAAATTTGTCCTGTTACTGGTGATAATTAACTTGGATTACTTAAATAAATGGTGTCTGCCAGGTTTTTCTATTTTAAATGTACGCTTGTAATTAGTAGTTATTTCATCCTCATCCAATTTTTGCCCACTAGTTTTAGTATCCACTGATGTTCCTTAGCTAGAGTGTTTATTGCTTTGATAATTGCTATCTTTCCTTCTACATCAGTGGATTGCCATTTACATCTATATTACTTCTCTGTTGAAAACCATCAGTTTATACCATTGTCTTCAGTTCTATGAAAAACCACAGCGTTCATGCAAGTTTTATATTTGCCTATGTGTAACTTCCTTACTTCAGTGAGAAACCTGGATCCCACCAGCCCCTTTATATTTCATTACTGTGTCAGTCACTGGGATGTAAAGCAGCGTCCGTCTCTGCAGATACTCCCCTCCCCCACTCCTATGCGGGAACACCAACATACAACCCCAGGCCACTGCCGTCACGGGGGCCCCTCTCTCCCTCCTTGGGCTCTGAGGCTCTGCTCTGCTCCTGGCCATCCTTCTTAGGTTCCAACACCCACAGCACCGCCCCCATACCCCTAACACCCAGAGTCACTGCCACCCCCCCCCCCCCCCCGCCTCACCCAGGCGTCCCCCGCCCCGAGTCCCCCCCCCCATCCCCGCCCCCGCGTGGATGTCTATGTTGCTTAACCCCATAGCTTTGGGAATGAAAAAGGAAGGGAAGTAGTAAAGGAAGACAAGAAAGCAGGAAGGAAAGAAGGGATTTTCATTTACCATACTATGAGTAAGAATGAGCACCCTTTCAAATGTTTAACATGCCCCTTGAAATTGTGTGTGTGTGTACATGAAGTATTTGTTAACATTTCTATCAATTTTGCTATACAGTCATTTTTCACACATCTAATTTTTTTAGGAACTCTATTTATCAGGAATATTAACATATTGTCTATAATTTAAGTTTCAAACATGTTTTCTGAATTGGTTGTTAGTTTTTCTTTGTTTTTCCCTTTGCCACACAGTTTTTTTATTTCATGTAATTGAATTTATTGCTTTTTTTCTCATTATTTCTGGATTTTGAATCAATATTGAGAAATAACCTCCTTTTTTTAAAGTGTACTGTTTGCTTTTATACTGATTTCTAATTTAGGTAGGTGTTGGACTGTGTTTTTGTAGGAAAAGAAACTGACTGGACTCTATCTTCTCACACTTACAGCTGGAGTCAGAGAGCAGGAATCACGTCTCCTGGTCCCTGGAGATCTATTAATTTTGAAAGGGAACAAAGTGCAAATGCCATGTGATGCCATCCTGATTGATGGCAGCTGTGTGGTAAATGAAGGCATGCTGACAGGTGGGGTTCTTTCTCACTTCTTCAGCTTCCCCAGCTCTCCCAGGCTCCTCCTCTACTTGAATGACAATGGCAACTTGTAGGGCTGCTGCTAGCCCTTCCTATTCCGCAGCTCTCATGAACAGTTGTGCCCTGGATATGTCTGAGAGTTCCATTCAAAGCTGCTCTCTGCATACTAAGTTTGATACAGTGGTCACTTTTGAGTCTAGCATTCCCTTCTTGAACAAAGAGTTGTTACAACCCTGTCATTTTACTTTAAAAGACTGTAAAGATCATTAGATGTTTCAGAATGATCTGTGGCGTTTATGTTTGCTATTTTTATATAACATTTGTCTTCAGGTAAACTTGGAGGGTTTAAAAACAATTGAGAACATCCTGAAAACCACAGAGCTAAATTCAAGCTCTTCCTAGCTTGGCTTGAAATGATGAAAAGGTTCATGATGCAGGATTTGACAGACCTGAGTGTTTTGGACTTCCTGTATTTCATTTTTAAATAGATGCTGGAGCGGGGAGGGTCCTTAGAAGTTATTGCACCTCATTGCTCTTAAAATTGTGATACAGAGAGGAGAAGTAACTTGCTCAAGGTCACAGTGCTTTGAATTATCACTCACATATGCATTATTAGGAGGTGTTGTGCCAATATTTCTGTAAGATAAAGAAGAATCATAAAGTCTGTGAATATGCAGTGACATACTGTGATTCCCATTAAAGTCCAAATCAAATCCATTTCTCTTGGGCAGACCAGAAAGGTGTGAAATAGAAACAAACACACACCTCTCTCCTATGTTAACTTACCAAAACAAACCAAAAAAAGCAAAGAAAACAAGGCAGTCTGGTTCTTTTCTTTAAGGAATCGATACATTTATAAACGCCCCTAGTGCTCAGACCTTTGCCACGCCAAGTACCGTTTTCCTAATGAAAGTGGCCTTATTATACTGGAACAAGTGTCTGATTCTGTGCTGCTCACTCTGCAAAGACCAGCGGAAGGCTTTCCAAGCTTCCTTCCTCAGAGGCCGTTGCTACTTCGCAACTTCATTTACAACTTTGTTTGCTACCTGTATTTGCACTTCAACCCCCTGCTACCTACTCCTCCCCCTGCACTGGCAAAAGCCTCTAATCCCTCAATTGCCAAATCCAATGGATTCTTTAAATTTCTCATTTCATTGACCTCTCTGCTGCTAGTGATTATTCCCATCATCTCTTTCTTCTGAAAACTCCCTTCTCCCTAACTTTCCAAGATAACGCTGTCTGTCCAAGTTCTTCTAACACTAACTACACTGTTCAGCTTCCTGTGGTGATCCTCTTCCTCCATCTCTTTGATTTTTGCTGCTATGTCCTGGACCTTTGCTCTTTTCACCCTACACTCAGTTCCCAAGTAATCTTTTCATTGCCTTTATTGCCAGCTCTAAGGCGATAAACTCTGACCAAACCTCTCCCCCGGCCTCCAGACCCAAATCAATTTCTAGCCAGCTACAAGGCATCTCAATAGTGTCATTCCACATGGATCTCCAACTCGCAGTGGTCAAAAGGCAATTCCTTATTCCTCCTATAATCCCTAAATTAATAATTAATGGCACCCTCCACTCATTCTCCCAGTCAGAAACCGGGAAGCTGCTTTAAATTCCTCCATCCCTCTAACCTGTCAAAATAAAAATATCCCCCAAGTTTTGTGGCTTTTTACTTCTTAATTTCCAAAATCCAGCACTTCCTTTCTACCCCCACGGCCAACTGCCATATTTCACACCTCACCTGCTCCAGTGGGGGTTTTTGTGATCATTCTCCTACTTAGTGTCCAGCCTCCAGCCTCACTAGACTTTAGACAGAGTGTACTCTCTTCTGCATTCATATGTTTTCTCTTCTAAATAAAACAGTTACACATCTCCTCACAGTGTCCATGGGAAAACATTTAAACTCTGAAACATGTACACTTAGGGCCCTCCAAGCTTTGGCTCCTACATAGCTCTCGTGGCCCTTTATTCCCAACATCCCACTCTCTAGACTGCGCACTTTGCTATTCCCTACATCGTTATTTCCAGCTTATTTCAGCATCCAGGTTTGATTTTGTAAAACTCATAGTATTTATAACATTTATATTTATTTGTTCACATGTATGTGTCCCTCTCTGGAGCATGGACTTCTTAAAAGCAAGCACTCTGTGTCTCCTTGTATGCCAGTATCTAGGGTTGTCCCTACTACAAGGCAGGCTCACCACAAATGCTCTACTATGGGGTGAATGAGTGTGTGCAGGACTGAAATGAATGAAGGCATCTCGCCTCACAAAATCTGTTGCTTGTTTTCTGTAGGAGAAAGTATTCCAGTCACTAAGACTCCATTACCCAAGATGGATAGCTCTGTGCCCTGGAAGACACAGAATGAAGCAGATTACAAAAGGCACGTCCTCTTCTGTGGAACAGAGGTTATCCAGGTCGCGGGAGCTTGCTCTGGGGCCGTGAGAGCAGTGGTACTGCAGACCGGTTAGTGAGCATCTCTTCCTTTGTTTTGCTCTTTTAATAAAATGTTTTTGTTCAGTTTGTCTGGTGTCTTAAATTTATTAGGTAAGAAGCAGTATTTAGATATCAAACCAAATATATTAAATCTATATATTTTAAATGTGAATTGAACTATAGCATATGCCTTTTGAAAATAATACTGATGACAATAATCACTATTTATGTGCTTTGTAGTTTATGAACCATTTGCACATGTCATACTTGCAGAGCCAAGAGCCCTGCTGTCCCTCCTTTCTGCATGCGTAGTAGGAGGCCCACACAATTCAAGTGAACTTGAACAAATCATACAGCCAGTAACTGGCAGAGCAGGACCTGGAACTCAGGTCTTCTAACCTCAAATCCCAAATTCTTCCTAGGTAGGATTAGAAACTGAAAACTTGACATTAAAAAGTATTAGAAATTGAGTCCATCAGTACTAACCAGACCATTTAGTTTAAATTCGAGTGACTTTTGTGTATGTGCATTCTCATGAGTTGTTTCCTTGAAAGGAAGCTACATTTGGGAAAGCCACGCTCTGTGCCCAGTATAGGCTTTCCTATCTCTGGGATGCATTGAAATTGAAAGTGTAGGGAGGGAAGGTCAGAGTAATAGGCTATGAAATACATATTTCCATTCTAGCCCTTAGATATTTTCCCAATTATCCTGTAATCGCATTTGGGGTTAAATACTGTTTAAAATGTCTCTAGAGAAAACAAAGGCAATGTTGAGGTATAGAAGACCACTAGCAGTAGGACTTGTCATCCTAAGAGCTGGGACGTGTGTTTACCACTTCAGGATTCAACACTGCAAAAGGGGACCTTGTGAGATCCATTCTGTATCCCAAGCCGATGAATTTTAAGCTCTACAGGGATGCCATCAGTTTCCTCCTATGCCTTGTGGGGACCGCCACCATTGGGATGATCTATACTTTGTGTGTCTACGTGCTCAGTGGGGTAAGCTGCTTTTGGTCTTTTCCTACAAGCACATATACACTCACCCATGCCTGTTTCATACTCTGCATGTTGGCCTTAACCGAGATTGTGGTTTACCAACCTGGAAAACCAAGACAAACACTGAAAATGGCCTGTATACTCTCAGCCCTGCAATATAAGCAGTTGATCACCAAGGTCCATAATAACAATGAGATCTAATGGGATAAAACCTGTTGTTTATAGAGATAGCAACATGCTTCTACTCTTGCACACTATTTCCTTACACTATTTAAAACTGAGACTATATCTGTTCCAATAATATAGTATTTTGTAGCTACAAAATGAAGAACTTTAATTAAAACCAGACACTCAATGTGTTGGTGAGGGTACGTGGCAAATTGGTATGTGGTTTTCTACTGGTAGCATATAAATCATTACAAGCCTTTTTATTGCACTTTGACAAAACATTGAAATCATATTCATACCTTTGACCCATATGTGACCTGCTCATATTATTTCTAGAAATTTGACCTAAAGAAGTAAACAAAAGGAAGGAAAAAGTCATATGCACAAAGCTGCTGATGACCAATTTATCTGTAATAGTGAAAGAGGGATGTATCTTCCAGGAACCCGCTGGAGAGGTGGTGAAGAAAGCCCTGGATATTGTCACAATTGCAGTTCCTCCTGCTTTACCTGCTGCCCTGACCACAGGCATTATCTATGCTCAGAAGAGGCTAAAGAAGAGGGGCATCTTTTGCATCAGTCCCCAGAGGATCAATGTATGTGGGCAATTAAACCTCGTCTGCTTTGACAAGGTATGTGAGTATCAACCTCATTCTCATCCCCCCTTTTATCACCATTGTCATCAGGGATAGTTGCTTTACACTCTTGTGAGACAGAAAACACAAGATGTGGGTATCTGACTTCACTTTATCCCTGATTGTCTGTCTGACCTAGGAAAGATATGCCTCTTGAGCACTTAGATTCTGGGGTTTAGAGAAGGAACTGTAGGCACTGCCTTAGTGAATCTTTTAGGATCTTTCCAGCTCCAATAGATGATGAAATGCAAATAATTAAAATAGCATCCTGTCTATTGTCAAAACCCCCAGAGAACAAAATTTAAACTTTTTACAATACTATGATTACTGCTGTATCTCTAACGTTAAGAATATTGCCTGGTGTAGTCAGTGCTCAATAAACTCTGAATGAATGAATGGATGAATGAATGAATGGAAAAGGAAGACTTTGTTTAACCTTCCTATGAGACTTGGTTACACTAAAACCTCCATCAAACCTTTACTATATTTTCCCATCTGCAGTATATTGCTTATAGTTATCCTTGATTATACAGCAGTTACTCCCAGCCAGTCTCTTATTCTGCCTTCTCTTGAAGGTATTCTAGCCTGTGTACACTTATGCTGGGGTGAAGGTGGGAACTATGAGAGGATAAGGTGGAAAAGAAGGACAATTTTGTGCTTGGGTCTTAATTTATAAAGGTGACTGAGCAATGACAAGGAAAGGTCAGGGCTGTTCAATGAGATGTTTAACATTACAGTCCCCTAGAAAAAGGAGGCATAGCTTACCGTGCAGGTCCACAGGAAGAATGCTATGTTTTGATCAGACAGCAAAAGCAGGAGGGAGAAGAACAATTAGAGCATGGCCTTTATTGGGATTTTTGCAGGAAATGCAAGACAAGGCAGGGTAAACAACTGACAATGGGATAGTTGAATGATTTTGGTGAGCTTTGGGCTACAGAGGCGGCTCCTAGGTGTCTGGTGCCTAGGTCTGGGATGATTAAGGAAGAGAAATGACTATCGCCTGGGGGAATGTGGCCACATACAGGAAGTTTGGCTACACATTGGTTAGTTTGCATGTCAAAGACATGCTCTTGCCTGAGCCCCTTTCTATTTTTCTAAGAATTGCCAGCCCCAGAGAGGCAGTCTCTCTCCAGTTAGAAATGTTTTTTAAGATGTCAAAACATCACAATATAGAAAATTAAAAAATATGTACAATACAAAGACCTTGTAGGCAGGAGAATAGGGGCAAAGGCACAGAGTCCGAAGAGCAGTAGAGTGTGGGTTGGCCAGAGCTGGACATTAGTAAAGGGTGGGGGCGTTCACAGACCTTGAATGTGTGGCTAAGAAGTTTTTACATACCCTTTTGGCAGTGGGGAGCCATTAGAAGTTTTTATTTTTACTGTTGATTTTTCTTTTATTGTGGTGAAATATATATAACATGAAATTTACCATTTTTCCCTTTATCAGTAGCTTTAAATGCATTCAAATTGTGTACAACCATCATCACCACCCATCTCCAGAACTTTATTCTCCGTCCCAAACATAAAATCTGTACCCATTAAATAGTACACTGAAGGTTTTTGATAGCAGAAAATTAATGAGATCAGCGCTGTATTATGAAATTGTTGGACTGTCAAGAACAGATTGTCCTTGGAATATCAGAAGTTATGTGCCTGGGGCACGACTACCCACCATGACCTGCCCAGTTAAGAATTTATGATCAGATCACCTGTGAGGTTACTTTGCAAGAATCCCTTTATGATCCAGAGTACCTTGGACTAAATGCACTGTAGTTTCCCTTTTCCCAGAATTCTCTATGTCCTCATGGAAACTAATAATAGAAACATTTTAGCTTTGGCTTTGGTGAGCAGTGTTTGCCAGGGTAGCTTCATTTAATTCCACCTCTTAAATACTTTCACTAATACTCTGTGCTAAAACATATATGTTTTCTCCCACCCCAGCCCCTGCCATATGCTCCACAGAAACAAAAGGTTAATATTGCTCTTTGCCACCATTTCAGCATTGTTTTGTGATCAAACTTCCACCATAAGGAAGGATGCTTTATTTATGAGATCATATCATCCTTGGACTCAGAAAAAGAAAGAGGATGGGAGAGATAATTGTGACCAGAATTTGAATATGAAATACATAAAAATTATGAGTAATTATCATTACTATTAGCTCTTACTCTATGCCAGACATTACATTAAGCTCCTCATGTGTATTATCTCATTTAATCTTCACAACCACCATATATGATTATAGCCATGTTACAGGTAAGGGCTTGACGTTTAGAGGAATTCAATAATCTGCCCAGATGACACAGCTGGTGTTTTAAACCAGAGAAGCTCTTCAACATCATACTGCACCAAGAGAAATGCCAAGCACCTTTCAACCAAATATGGATCATATAACAAACCACTTCTGTAGAACAATACAAAATTCTTCTACTCCCATTACTTCTGGTGACAGACTTTTCACTTCTGCTAGAAAAACTGGGACTTGCTCATATTTAGCTCTTAGAGGCTTACCAAAAACCTTCCCATTCATTTCGTCTGCCCTTAGAACCTCAAAACAAGCTTCTGAAATATGTAAGGCAGATATAGCTTTCTTTCTTTTATTGCTGAGAACACTAAAATATAAAGAGATTAAGTGCTTGTTTGTCATACAACTGGTATAAGCTCATCAAATCTTCCCCCAGAAGTCCAGATACCCATCTTACTGTGTTCTCGCTTCAAGTGGTGATGCCGTTTAATTTTGTGGTGTATGTTTTTCTATTAAAATATACCTTATTAGTCTTTACAATGGGGTGCTAGGTCTTCCGAATAAACTGAGTTCTTGTTTCTGTTTAGACAGGCACCTTAACAAGGGAGGGCTTGGATCTCTGGGGAGTCGTGCCCTGTGACAAGAATGGGTGAGTACTGTCGACCTAAAAACATCTAAACCTGTAGAAAAGTTTTACACGAGTTTATTTGAGCCCAAACTAATGACAATTGCTTGGAAGCAAGATCTCAAATGCTCTGGAGAGTGACAGTTTTGCAGTTTTCTTTTATGCATTGAAATTAAGGACAGAACATAGGAAGACTACATAAAGGTGAGAGCAGGAATTGGATTACAGGATAGTTCACATGATTTTGTGTTCTCGTGAGGGTGGTTGCTTCAAAGGCTTATTTCAAAGGTACATTAACCTAGGTGCACAAAAACAATGAGCAGGGCTTGCTTAAGGCAAAGATAAACCTTTTACTTAAGAAGTTATGTGCCTGGGGCATGACTACCCACCATGACCTGCTCAGTTATGAATTCATGATCAGATCACCTGTGAGGTTACTTTGCACAGAATCTCTTTATGATCCAGAGTACCTTGGACTAAATGCACTGTAGTTTCCCTTTTCCCAGAATTCTCTATGTCCTCATGGAAACTAATAATAGAAACATTTTAGCTTTGGCTTTGGTGAGCAGTGTTTGCCAGGGTAGCTTCATTTAATTCCACCTCTTAAATACTTTCACTAATACTCTGTGCTAAAACATATATGTTTTCTCCCACCCCAGCCCCTGCCATATGCTACACACAGACTCAGGAGATGAAGGAGAAGTTTTGACACAGCATTCAAACGCTTGCTAAAATATAATTTGCAGTCAGCCCATTAGTCAGGGGCCTGAATTTGGCCTAGTGTTACCTAATTCAGACAACACTAGGACACGGTCCCTCAGGGAAGTAACATTCCTCGAACAAACTGAAGCCTTTCAGTGTGCTAGGAGGAAGGACACCGTGCTCACTTGTGTACCCTGAATTTCGGTAGGAGGAACATCTGTGGAATTGGAGCTGGGGTACCCATTTTCCTTGGTACTCTAGTTCTGAGAACTTGACCTTTTGGTGGCCTCTGGACTCCTCAATTTCGGCAGCTTTCAGCGCCAGGCGGTGAAACCTGGCACAGGCTCTCCGGAGGCCCTCTTGCGGCCACGCCTGGATTTACCTCCTTGCCCGCTTCCCCCTCTCCTACAACCTGCATTGTGATCTGAGCAGGAAACATTTGACATTTACTTTTTTTCTTTTTTCTTTTTTTTTATGAAGGTATTTCTCACTTACAAACTAAATCACAAAACATTTTATTCATAAAAGATCCATAGCACTTCTTCTGGATTATGTCGATGACATATAATTTATCTATAAAATATTTTAATTACAGGTATTTAATAGAGTTTCATATTAAAACACGAATATAAAATATTTATGAACAACTCTATTTCCTGGGTTAAAAAAATTAACCTTGGTACTGCTAAACATGTTGGTCTATAGAAGGAGCCCTTTATAAATATAAACTCTCTAAAGTTCTTTTCATTTTCCCTTGAAGGTAGATTTGGATATATACCTGTTTTCCTTGTTTGTTAATATTTTTCTGTGTCAGCTTATACAAAATATGTATGCATTTATTAAACTATTTGAGCATCTTGAGAGCAGTATTTTCTTACTTATATTCGTGCCTCTCATGCTGTAGCACTATACAAGGCACACATAGATGAACACTATATGTTTGTTCATCTAAAATTAACTAAATCTGTCGCATCTTTTGAATGCTATCCTACTTAGTGAGTTGACATCAAACATATTTATCAAACATTTTATTTCTAAATGTTACTTGTCACATTTAAATAAAATAATTAAGATGATATTTAGGTTATTGATTAATAGGCCCATTACTCTTTATTCCTGACTTCCTTCAACATGCTGAAAGCTGGATTCAGATGAATAAAAGAACAATTTGAAAACATTTTTTAATTACCAGTTTTAATTTATAACATGAGAGAAAGCAGATTCAATTCTAGGTAAGAGATTAGTACCTGACTTATAGGCTATTAAATATCTCCTTATAAAAGGTGAGCTCCAGTAATTCTCACCTTTTCCAAAAAGAGTTTGCTCAATGTGTCAGATATTTAAAGAACTATTGGAACAGTACCTGGGCTACCTGAACTTGATAAATCACAAGCATTCAAGGAAAAATACAAGGACAGGATTACAGAGAGTTTTATTTTTTTGTGTGTAAACCAGAGTCACTCAATCTCAAAAATTCAGAATTATGTATTCAGAATTACATACTGATGCCTGGGTGTGCCATCTAAAAAAAAAGATCCCTTTTCTCCTCTTCTGTGTTTGCTTTCTGGTGTGAGCTTAAGCTTCTGTGTTAATCACACTGCTGGTGATGTCTTCCTTTTACTTGTTTACTAAAAACCAGGGGCCTCTTGTAAACCACTAAGGTAACTTAATCCTTTAATATGTGGTTGAGCAGAAGTAATGCCTGCTTGAGTGTGGTTGGCAGGGTAATAATATGGGTATAATAATTTATAGTTTTAATATGAACATTTCACCTAAAATGTCATATGGTATGCTTAACTGTGATATTGTTATGTTACAGAATTACATACTTATGAATTTGTAATAAAAAGGGGCATTATTTGTGTTGGACCCTGTATAATAGTAGATATGATCAACCAGGTCAGTAATCAGCTGAGAGGTTTTGAACTCAGAGAAGCCTGAGGAAGGTGGCCAGGAAGAAATGTGGCTGAGTTATGAGTTAACAATGTAATGTGGTTGCTTTCAAGAACAAAAGGCTGAGCAACCTAAGGCAGTATTTAAAGAAATGTAGTGTCCATATCATAAGAAATAATAGTCTGGTCCTGAAGGAGCCATTCTAAGGCAAAGAACAAATAAAAACTTTTCCAAGAAAGTAACTAGAAAGGTGAGTGGTCTGGAGACTGTGTGTTGAAGGCACAGCTGGAGGTTCCTGTGCAACCGTAGGGGAAAGGAGGATAAGAGGGTGTTCCAGTGAGCTGGTCCACAGAAGCTGACATGTGGAGGAAGGAGAACAAATAGATTCTGACTGGCTCCGAGGAGTATGGTTTGTCTCAATGCAGGAAACATCTTCCTCATAGGATGAGCTGCTCTGAGCCATACTGTGCTATATGCTTAAGAAGGGACTGACAGCAAGGTTGCAGAGGACAGTCCTCCCGTGGGCCAGAGGCTGAATTTGATGACTTCAACGCTGCATCCGTGACAGCACACTGCATGTGACGTTTGAGTTGTATGTCAGTAGGGTTTAGATGAAGCCACTTTCTAAAGGAAGAGATGGTGATGATGGTTGCAATACGGACACTGCACGGTGAATGCCAGGGTGGAAGAGGAGAGTGCAGTGTCCCTTTAAAAAATATTTTTTTTAGGGTTTATTTCTTTACTATGGTCTGCCATACTACTTCCAGTACCAACTCATTCGTTTATTCACTCATCCATTTGTTGACTGTGTAATGTTGGTCAAACGTCCAACATGTTGGAGAGATACAGGAGACATAGCCCTGCCCTGAAAGATTAATGAAGGAGACAACGGGCGTACACGGTCACAGCATGAGTGAGGCTCTTCTGACTCACAGCACCGGAAGTGAAGTAGTCTGGTAGTTGGAGCGGGAGTAGATGTGCTTAGAATTAAGGCTGATACTTCTACTTTCTTCCATACCTCTGGAATTAAATCTGTGTCAGAGAAAGAGTAGGAAAAGAGGGAAGAAAGAGCTTGAAAGACCCTCAAAGACCTTTCTCATACTCACTGAACTCATGTGAGGATGATGGCTGCATGAAACACTGCTGGGGGATCTGGAGAGTGGGTGTGTGATGTAACAAAGCACATTAAATCGCTTTTGAAAAAGTCCCCTCCAGGAGCTGCATTCTGGCCTGGGGGCATAGGACTGAAGCCTTTTCCCTTGTGTCCTTTAGCTTCCAGGAAGTCCACAGCTTTGCCTCGGGCAGGGCTTTGCCGTGGGGCCCACTGTGTGCCGCCATGGCCAGCTGCCACTCTCTGGTTCTTCTCGATGATACCATCCAGGGAGACCCTCTGGACCTCAAAATGTTTGAAGCTACTACCTGGGTAAGCCTCTGGTCTGCAGAGAATCTAAGAAGCTTTCTCCATGCCTAAGCACCGCAGGTTTTATCGCTGATACTCAAAACTCACAAATTGTGAGGGCTCCATCATGGAGAACATAAAGTGGTGAGAGACAAACCCGCCTGAGCCTGGTTTCCTCCACGATAGGAAACCGGCGTATCTCCCTGATAGGGTTATATTGATTAAATGTAGTGGTGCCCTTAAGAAATTCCTGGCACATGTTATAGGCTCGCATGCATTAATTAATTATAAATATCATATATTTTTTCAAATTTTCAGATTGTGGTACGAGCAATGCCTGGTTTCAAAGTTTTCTGCAACATGGGGATTAGAAAACATCACTGTGCCCCGTGCTTAGGGTAACTCATTGTTACAGGAGTTTAGTTCCTATTAATATTGTATTGACTTTGTTTCTAAGACTGGACGCAATAGGAAGGAAAGCATGAGCGCTGTCATTGAGACTTTAAAGTGGATTCAAGAGCAAGCGGTTCTGTTCAGGAGAGGAGTGTGGCTCTGCCAGTGGTGCTGGTTTCGGCTCTGCTCTAACTGCCAGCTTGACCTTGGGATGTCAGCTCTCTTGTTGGGGCTTGGCTCCCACGACCTTAAAGTGAGGGGGCAGAGTAGACCAGCAGTGCTCACCTAAAACAAAACAAAAAAGCTGGAATCTTTTCTTAAAAGGAAGTTTTATTCAGAAGTACATTATACAAACCAAATAGTTGGAGTTGATCTTGTTGAGATGGGGAATAAAGGTCAAGCTTAGGGAACATGCATCCCCACCTATTCAGCCAGAAGCCCAACCTATGCCTGGCAGCTGGGTGCAACTCCGGACCCCTCTGATACATGTGTGAGCCCCGCGGAAGGAGACGATCCTTAGGGTCCCTTCTGAGTAGGACATGTTCTGTAGTAGACTGATACAAGTTTGCCAATCTTTAATCCTTCCTGCATTACTGTTTCTCTATCTTTAAGTAGGGATTGTAATTTCTTCTCTGAGATTTTTTTTTTCAGCCACTCAATGATATGATTACAAAGGATTTTGACATCTTTTGGTAAAAGATTCCTCTGACTGTAATTTAGGGTCATCATTGTAGCAATTACTGAGTGTTTATTGAACATCAACCATGTATATCACTGTCCCTGCTGTGCACACCCTGAGAACCAACAGTCTGAGTTACCATATATTTGCCATGTATAATGTGTACTTTTTTGCCCAAATTTCTGAGGGAAAAATAAGGATGTGCATTATACATGGGTAGCACCTGAAATGCCTTGTAGCTTTCTTGGTGTTTTGTAATTATTTGTTCCATAAAATTTCCTGTGTCATGATATGTTAAAAAAATTAATGCTAAAATCGCCTTATAATACAAAAAAAAGTATCTAAATATAAATAAATAAGAAATTGAATTAAAAATGTAAAATAAAAGATTTATTCCCTGAAAGTTTGGGCCAAAAATGTGGGTACACATTATACATGGCAAAATACAGCAGACAGAGGAAAGAGCAAGAACAGCCATGAACTCCAGGGAAAGAAAGACTGTAAGGTGCTTGCCTCATGCTCACTGTTTTCGAGTCAGGCTCTTCAGAAGCAGAGATTAAGCGCTTTATACAGCACACTCCGACAGAGAAAGCAGGATAAATTGCATGAATAATTCAGAAGGGTCTGATCTTTGAGTTCTACAGCATTTTCAATGCATTGTTTTTTTCCTGTGGCGAAATAAGATTGGTTCACCTCCATCTATCCAGGGGAGGAGAGCCGAGGATACATTGATATGGCCTGAGGATTTTCTCAGGGGGAGGGTTTGAGCATAGTATCAGGCAATGAACAAGAAATAAATCTCTGCAATGAAAATATTCCATTTGTGAAACAGGAAATGGCTATTTCTGGGAACAATGTTCACGTCACGGGAGTGCCAGCACACGCCATGGTCGTTAAGCCCTGTAACACCAGCCAGGTAAGCCTTGTCTGCTCCTCCCGCCACAACACCCAACCTCGAGGGGACAGCCCCGGCAGGCCCATAATTTTGAAAGGTCCCAGATGTGTCTTCTTTGAATCCCACATGAGAAAGTTAATGAGAACTTGTTTCCTTTATTTGCTATCAATCAATCAATCAATCAGTATTTAAAAAAAAAAAAAGGATCGAGGGAGGAATAGTTCATTCCCTGTAGGTAGAATCTATGTTGGTGTGTCACTCTCTGTTCCCCATCCCTCAACCAGGTCCCAGTGGAAGGAATTGCAATCCTGCATCAGTTTCCATTCTCGTCATCGCTGCAGAGGATGACAGTCGTTGTCCAAGAGATGGGGGGTGACCGGCTGGTGTTCATGAAAGGTGCACCAGAGACAGTGGCCAGCTTTTGCCAACCGGAAACAAGTAAGCAAACAGACTTGTACTACATCTGGCTAATTGGTAGTTCAAGCCCAAATGTGCACCCTCAACACTTGACCTAAGAATCCAATTGCCTATTGCTCATTGCCAGCGGGATGACTCATTTACATCCCAAACTATTCAATACTAAAACCAGGATTATATTTCTAACTTCCTGTATTTCCCATCGTGGCAAACAACACTCCCATTCTCCACCTTCCCAGGATTTTATGTTCTTCCCAGAATTGTCCCTCATCCTCCTTGTCTTTGTCTTGCCGGCTGCTAATCCATGACCCTGTCACTCCATCGGCTCAGGCCCTCATCCCTTTATGGGATCACTTTAATAGTTGGTGAACTGACCCCCTCCCTACTCCTTTCACCCTTTTGAGCTCTGACTAGATTGGTTTTTCCATCACATAATATAACTATGTTGTCACTTTCTACTTTTCTTCTTTTGGTTGCTTCGCAGACTCCAGGAAAATATTGAACTCCTTTAAGATCTTAAGGCCTTCATGACCTGACTCCTATTAAACTTTCCAGATATGCTGCACCACTCCTCCCCTCACATTCTGTGCTTTCCCTGAGCTGAATTAATGACTCAAGTCCCGACCACATGGCGCTTTCTCAGCCAGCACGCCCGTTCCCTTCTTCCCAGTCTGGCATATGTGTCTCTAAGCGCTTCCATAGCACAGTGCACGGCAAGTGCGAGAAGAGATCCTGAGAGTGGGGCCCGCTATTTAATCTTTGCAGAGCCACTGTCTGGCACATAGCAGACTCTCAGTAAATGTTTCCTGGTTAAACTGGAGAAATAAGAATTATACACTTACCCCATTCCCCTCCCCTGTCTTTTGTTTTACTACTTCCTTCTCATTTCAGCTTCACTGAATCCCAAGACATCAGTCCTGACAATGTAGTTTATTTAGGGTGGGTTCCCACTGACTTATTGTATACCTTTTTAGAGGTGTAGTTCTTTTTTTTTTTTTTTGTTTCTCCGCTAGTACCAGCTGAGTAAAATATTGCTTGCTAATCCTGTGTAATTTTCTGAATAGTACCAACTACTTTTGCCAGTGAACTTCAGATTTACACAACACAGGGCTTCAGGGTCATAGCGCTGGCCTACAAAAAGCTGGAAATGGACCACCACGCCACTGCCTTGATGAGGTAAATGGGAAGGATTTTCATAAAGGGGGATGGTTTGGTGGGAAGATGCACCAGTCTGGGCTGTGAACTCAGCAACAGAGGTTGCTGAGGATTCATGTATATGAAATGTCTCTGAACTTAGTAAACACAGATATAGCCATCCCTACTCTGCCTAAATCACAAAGCTGATGTGAGCACTGACTGGGAGAATTTACCAAGAAATAGCTATATAGACTCTGAAGTGTGATGTGATTGTATACCTTTGTGGAAACATACATGAATACAAGCAAATGCTTCATAGTATGAAATTATGGTCATGCCCCCATTTTGAAACAAATACAAGTAGCTAACTTCCAAAATCATGGTTGGTGAATTAGTGGAAAGTTACAAAAATTAGTTGGTGAATTCGTTGAAAGTTACATAACATTTTTCTGAAAAAAATTCTTGATAAGAAATATACAACTTAATGGAAAAAATATAGCTTAGACTTAAATATTTGTAGAAAAGCAAGGATAGCTTCAGAGTGACCATTGTTGGGAAAATCTTGGTATGATTAAATTAAAAAAGGGGCCCTCCAAAGCTAAAATGGACTATTGGTTCAACTTTATTTGTTATTTTATTTTCTACTGTTTTCAGTGCCAGCCATCTTTGGTAACACAGCTGTGGAGATAAGGCTTATTTTGTTGCTTAGGATTTTACATTTGGGAGGTCTACTTGTGTTCAACCCACTCAGACTCAACAACAGTCTCTTATTATAACTATATTTCCTACTGATTCCTTTTCTATACTAAAATAAAACTCATAAGTATATAATCACATATTTTGAAAAATAAATGATGCCATCCTAGAGAGTAAAAATAAGAACAAAAAATACAATGTGTTACAAAAGTAACAGCTTAATACACACTCAGCTGACTCCCCTGAAACAAAATGAAGCGATTTTTTGCTTGCCTCTGTGTGCAGAATCACCAGGGCTGCGCCGGCACTAGCACTAGATGCAGACGGATACAGGCGTTATGCATCGCGGTCTGAAAGAGCACTAGCCGTCTTGTTCTCAGTGAGATCACTGTGAAATGGTTTAAAACTCTTGGTAAAACTCTGAGTAAAACAGTACAATCTCCTTTCAACCTACACAATGCTTTGTGCTTATATGTAAAACAGAGCTAGGGGAAGTATAAATGATTTTATATTTTCTTAACATAATATGGTTGTAGTCTATATACTGTGATATAGTATGCTCTGTAGCATAATATAAACAGTATAAACCTATGCTAACTTAGGAAAATATAAACAACACTTTAGGGTCAGTGAATGTCCCATAAAGCATTCAAAGAGCATGTGGGATGCAAGGTAATTCTTGACTGTGCATTGGTGATTGCAGAAAATCTTGCACAGATGTTGAAAAAGTTTCCAAAGTGTCCTGTAGAGGCAGTACCGTGCCTGCTGAGAATCACAGATGTGCCCCAACCGTGTCGCTTTGAGCATGGGCAGAGAGGCCAGAGGCACAAGTGGCTCACCTAAAGTCATTGCGTATTGGATACCTGAGCATATCGGGCCACTCTCCTGGAGCCAGCTTAATGTGACCCTTAAAAGGGTTACTGTGGCTATTGTGATGCTGGGTATTTGTTGTTATTTAATCACCTCAGGTCACTCAAGTCGCTGGTCAGAGAGCTGACAGTGGACTTTGAGACTGGATCTCACATTTTCAAGAAGAAACTTGCTTTGAGGGAAGTAGTTCCGGCTGTGTCCACTTGTCGCCACTCTGGTGGAGGGGTTAGCAGTGTTCTAGGAGCATCTGGGCCCTGGCCGATGTGAGGCACACACAGCAGGGGAGGCAAGGGGGCTTCCCTGGGTTTTGCTTTCATCTGTATTCCAGCTGGATGTGGGCAATGCTGGGGTCTTGCTCTCGTGTCTACTAGAGGGGTCTGAGTCTTGGATAAATGACTCTTGGAAGAAAGACTCTTTGAGCCCCCAACCTCAAACGTACTCACCTGCACTTGGTCCTGTGGGATGCCTTTGAAGTGTCCTTGTGGCGGATGGGGCCTCAGAGACCCTGCTTGCTGCAGAAACAGTCATACTTTATGTAGAAGAGCCATGTTACCAGTTGAGAGTTTTTGAGGTTATGACCTCATACTCCTGGCACTAAAATGGTACAGACTATAGGTTTGTTTCTAGAAAAGCCGGCATTTTATATTTATATTGTGCCTCACTTATTTCCCATGATGTACCAGAGGTAGAGCTCCTCTCTGGTTGTTGCCAGCAGGCGAGGTGATGAAAATCAACACAACAGATGGAAGGGATCTTTGCAGTCATTTAGTTTATTTTATGCAAACGTTAAAGTAAACCTTTTGCTTAATTAATTCTCCTCCTTTTGATTCAGTTAGAGTAAATGTCTCAGTGTCCCCTTCTTGTCTGGGTGGTTCCTGGCACATATTCAGTATCTCAGGAATGGCATTTGAATGAGAGTCAATACCAGTATGACAGGAAGAGATTTATTTTCGTTTTTGTTTTGCTTCCTGTATGAAGGGCGGTGATGTGCTATTTCTGTCCAATCATTCAGGGACAAGGTAGAATCAGACCTGATATTTCTGGGATTGCTGATCTTGGAGAATCAGTTGAAGGAAGAGACAAAACCTGTCCTGGAAGAGCTCATCTCAGCCCGGATAAGGACGGTAATGATCACAGGTATAGAAAAAAGTAGAAAACAGTAAGAATTTGATATGGAAATAGATAGAGAGTCACTCATTAACAAACACTGTTGACTACCTTCTATGGATCAGGCACTATTGTAGGTGCTGGAGATGGGCAAAGAAAAGCAAAATTATTGTTCTCATGAGCTTCTGTACAGGTGGGATGAGATAGAAAGTCAATCAATCAATTAATTGGCAATAAAAGAATGAAATGAACAACTAGTATTGAGTGTCATGAAGTACATAGAACAAAACAGGATGATGTGGCAGAGTGCCTGACTGGCTATTTTAGATAAAGAGTCGTCTCTGAGAGAGATCACTGGGGATATTACCCAAATGAGAAGAAGAGATAAGCCATGCAAAATGATGATTGTGTTGTTAAATATTAGGAGAAGAAAAATGCTTGGTCAGCATGGTCTGTAAACTGCACTGAAAACCCATCAATAACAAGATACAATTCTGGAGATTCAAAAAAAGTGCTGACCTCTCTAGTTCTACTTTCAAGCCCAAAATCACACAAACAGGGGAGTGGTGAGAAAGGATCATGTAAGAGAAATGTGTGAAATTTCCTAATAGATGTTTCTGAATGGAGAATAAATGATTTCCTAATGCATTCATATTTTTTGAGTGTATTTTCCGCCTCATAGTCAGAGGCATTCAATTCTATTAACTGTGTTACCAAGATAGAATATTTCCCCACCTCACATCCCCTGAATCCAATTCTACTGTTGGGCACTCAAGGATACTTTCACTTTCCCTTCTGTCCCTTCCCATCCCCTGTTTCCACTCCACAATCTTAGAGACATTTGGATCACTCTTACTCTCTCCCTTTCCTGTCCCTCAATCCAACTTTCAGGTTTTGCTGAGTTAACTTACTACTTAATAAAATTTTCCTTGCATTATGATGCTTGTTTCAAAAATCTTTAGTTAGCACTATATTACACATTCTTATAATCCATCCTTAATCATTTAGATTTATGTAGGAATAGAAGTTGACCACCCTCCCTCTACTCCCTCCCTCATTGAATTTCTGTTGTTTTTTCCTTGCTTGGTTATCATTTTTTCTCAAAAATTGTCGTTGAACAGGATAGAACATTGATATGCTCTCTGATTTCTTACATAGGTTGGAATATTTTTCTTTGCTCTGACAGTTGGATGAGTATAGAATTTTGGGGATACAGTCTTTTTAAAATTTATTTTATTTTATTTTTTATTGTTCAAATACATTTGTCTCCATTTTCCTGCCACCATTTTCCCAACCCCCTTCCCCACCTCCCTCCTGCAATCTTTTCCCACTTTGGCTTTGTCCATGGGTCCTTTATACATGTTCCTTGACTTGACCCTTCCCTTCCCTTTCCTCACTGCCACCCCTCCCTTCCCTCTTGATTTTGTTAGTTTCTTTTTTCTTTCAGTGTTGCTGGTTATATTTTCCTTGCTTGTTTGCTTTGTTGGTTAGGTTCCACTTATAGGTGAGATCATGTAGTATTTGTTTTTTTGCCCCTTGGTTTATTCACTTAGCATAATGTTCTCCAGTTCCATCCATGCAGTTGTAAAGGGTAGTAGCTCTTCCTTTCTGCTGCATAGTATTCCATTGTGTAAATGTACCATAGTTTTTTGATCCACTCATTTACTGATGGGCACTTAGGTAGCTTTCAGCACTTGGCTATTGTAAATTGTGCTGCTATGAACATTGGGTTGCATAGGTTCTTTTGAATTGGTGTTCTGGGATTCTTAGGGTATAATCCGAGCAGTGGAATTGCTAGATCAAAAGGCAGTTCCATTTTTAGCTTTTTGAGGATATTCCAAACTGTTTTCCACAGAGGCTGCACCAGTCTGCATTCCCACCAACAGTGGACTAGGGTTCCCTTTTCTCCACAGCCTCGTCTGCACCCATTGTTTGTTGATCTGTTTTTGATGGTCATTCTGACCAGTGTGAAGTGGTATCTCATTGCAGTTTTAATTTGCATTTCTCTGATGGCTAGTGATGCTGAGCATCCTTTCATATGTCTCTGGGCCCTCTGTATCTCTTCCTTGGAGAAGTGTCTGTTCAGGTCCTTTACCCATTTTTTAATTGGATTGTTTGTCTTCCTGGAGTGGAGCCGTGTGAGTTCTGTATATATTTTGGAGATCAAACTCCTATCTGCTCCTATCATTGGCAAATATATTTTTCTGTACGGTTGGTTCCTTTTCATTTTGCTGATGTTTTCTTTAGCCATGCGGAAGCTTCTTATTTTGATGAGGTCCTACTTATTTGTTCTTTCCTTTATGTCCCTTGCTTTGGGTTACATTCTTTTTTTCCTTAATAATCTGTAGGTGTCTTTCCTTTGCTCTCTGGTTTTTGGTATTGCATATTACCAGTTCAATGCCAGTCCACAGATTTTTCTTTTCTGCATATAATCCTTTTCTTTTAACTTTGAAGCTCAGAAATGTTACCAGAATATGCTTATAAGTTTCTCACTTTTCATTAATTTGGTCTGGAACACAGTTAACACTTTTAATCTGCCTTTGTCCTCTTGGGAAAATTTATTCTATTGTTCAAAAAGTCTATTGTTCATTTAATTATTGCCTTTGTTCTCGCTCTCTTTTTTCCCTTCTGGAGTTTCTATTATTCATACAACAGGCCTCCTGGGTCTATCCTCTCAGTTTCTTATCTTTTTCCTAGTGACTATCATGTTTTTTAATTTTGCTTTGTGCTTTAAGAATTTTTTTGCACCCAGTTTTTTCAAACCACAAACTGAGGTCTCACAAATGACTATTAACGGCTACTCTACTTTACCCAGCATGTGTTCTGGCTGTTCAGCCTATCTTTTCCTATCTCACTACTGGGGTTTCTTAACTAGGATGTTACATATCTTTGTCAGGTGACTGAGACTCAGGCCTGGGCTGCATATCCTAACCAGTAGAGCTCTGATGGTGGTCGATGCAAAACAGGCCTGCATTGCAAAGCAGACCAGCTGCTGGCATCTGCTGAGGTCGGTGGGGGAAGCCTCTTAGCTCTCAGTGCTCACTATACTCTTCCAGATGTAAAGGGTTCAGCAGCTCCTTGCTACCAGTTAGCTCTTTTGAGCATCCTCATAAGGATTTTGGTAGAGACCTGAAAAGAGCTATGCTCAGGATAGCCAGCCAGATCTTATATTCTATATTTTTTGGTTCTAGGAATTACAATATCCATACCTACCCTTTCAAGAAACCTTACAACCATAAACGCTTTCTACCTTCTCTCCTTTATGTTATAGTTGCTATGTGTATATGGACAATTAAAGCCCCACTGGGCAATGTTAAAGTTTTTACTTTTAAAAGTAAGGAGTTAAAGAACATAAGTGAAGAAGAATAGACTTTTATATTTACCCAAAATTTTATTATTTCTGTTGCTATGTTTTCATTCCTTAGGTTTGAAGTTTCCCTCTGGTATCCTTTCCTTTCAGCCTAAAGAACTACTTTTAACAGTTCTTTCTGAGCATGTTCTATGACAAAATAAAAAATTATCTTAGTTTCCCTTCATCTAAGAATGCCTTTATTTTTACTTCATCCCTGAAAGATATTTTCATAGATGTCTGAATTGACAATTTGTTTTTCTTTCTGTACTTTAAACATGTTGTTTTACTGTCATTTTCTTGCCTCCATGGTTTTTAATCAGAAATCTGTGATAATTTTAACTTGCGTAATTATTCCCTTATATGTAATATATTCCTTTTTTTCCTAGCTCCTTCTAAGATATTTTATTATATTTGGTTTTTAGCAGTTTATGTGTCTAGATGTGGTTCTCACTGAGTTGTTAGGGGTTCACTGAGCTTCTTAAATCTGTAAATTTAAATTTTTAAACATATTTGGTAAGTTTTCTGCTATTATATCTTAAAAAATAATTTTTCTGTTCCAGTCTCCCCAGTTTGTTTTTTTTACCCTAATGAAATAAATGTGAAAAATTTTAATATTTTTTTGGTGTTTTTTTCTTTTCTTTTAAGATTTTTCTCTCTTCTTCAGATTATATAATTTTTATTGCTCTAACTTCAAATTCACTGACTCTTTCTGCTCATCTCCATTCTGTTATTGAGTGCATCTAGTGAATTTCTGCAATTTCGACTATTATATTGGTCAGTTCTAAGGTCAGTTATAAACCATTTAGTTCTTATTTATAGCATTTTTTTCTGGTAAGGATGTCTTTCTTGTTATTTATTTCAGGAGTATTAACCTTTACCATGTGGAGGAGGCTTACAATAGCTCCTTTAAAATCATTGTGTAATAATTACAACATCTGGGTTATTTTGGGCCATGCAATTGTTGATTACTTTTTCTTGAGAATTGGCCAGAGTTTCCAGGTTTTTTGGTATGTTGAGTATCCTATATATTTTAAATATGATGTTCTGAGACTTTGGATCCTGTTAAAATTTTTGGAGAATGTTGAGTTTTGTTTGTTTGTTTGATTGATTTTTAGCAAGAAAAACTCAGGAATGTAGGATTAAAAAACACGGTTCAGTCCTCGAAGACTTTGCTATCCTTCTTTGGGTATATTCTGCAAAGGTGCAACTCTGAGTTGGGGCTGGGACTCACATAGTTCACTCACTGATTTATTTAGGCTCCTTGTCTATGGCTGCCCTTTCCAGAATTTCCCTCATAATTCTTCAACCCTCAGGTGCCCCTTTTCCTAGTTCTTCTGGGTAGAAAGGCTAGTTTCTCAGAGTTTTCTCTGCACTGCTACCTGCACTGCTGTAGGGTCAAACACATGAGAGGAAAGAGAAACAAAACATGAGAATTGTAGCATCTTGTAGACTGTTTCTCCAAATTTGACTCTCTTGCTCATTCTTCTTGCTTATGTTTACTTTTCAAAGTCCTTGGGTAGTTGATTTTTGTATTTTTTTAAAATAATTTTTTAAAAAGATTTTATTTATTTATTTTTAGAGAGAGGGGAAAGGAAAGAAAAAGAGAGGGAAAGATCAATATGTGGTTGCCTCTCACACAACTCCTACTGGGGACCTGACCCACACCTAGGCCTGTGCCCTGACTGGGAATTGAACCAGCAACCCTTTGGTTTGCAGGCCTGCACTTAATCCACTAAGCCACACCAGCCAGTGCTGATTTTTGTGGCTTTGTTCAGAGTTTTCCATTATTGTCAGTGGGAGAGACAGATTATAGTGGGCTGACTCCATCTTGCTGGAAGTGGAACCACCAGATACTATATGAAATCAGTAGGGTCTTGTCAAATGTTTACCCAGCTGTTAACAAATAACAGAAATAGATTTGATTTTTATTTAGATTTGCCCTTTTATTTTCCTTTCCTCTCTCTGTCCAAAATGTACTGTTAGGTCATGAAACAACCAGGTAAAAAGCAGCAAGAAGCAGAAAAGGGATCATGAGATCAAGAAAGGTCAGGGCTGAGGAAGATCTTACATGTTATTTCTCTTCACATCTAAAATAAGTTCTTAACTCCTTATCCTAGTTTCCCAGGCCCTTTATGAATTTGTTCTATCTCTTCAACCTCATGTTAGGATATTGTTCCTTTCCTCTAGGCGACAATCTTCAGACTGCAATAACAGTGGCCAGGAAGTCTGGAATGGTTTCTGAAGGCCAGAAAGTCATTCTCATTGAAGCAAATGAAGGTCCTGTGTCCTCATCAGCATCTATCTCTTGGAAATTGGTAGAAGAGAAGAAACACATTACATATGGAAGTCAGGTACTATACCTGGAAACAGGCTTTCTACCATATTATCCAATGTTATTGAACTTGTTGCACAGCACTGGTGGCTGATCAGTTTTGACTGGCGGAGGTGTGCAGGTGATCTAAGCTCAGCATACTTCTCCAAATGTCTAACATATATACAGTGCAAAGAACTGAATTATATCTGTTTCCCCTATTTTTCCAACTGAGCTGTAAGATACAGTGCTTTCCTGGATGCTGAAAATTATCCATTCTCTTAAACTTAAATTTTTTTTTGGCTCTGTATGAGAAAGAATATAGATGGGGGAGATGATAATATAATTTTCCATTTTTCCCTTGCTTGTCAGCCATCCTGTTGAGTTCAAAGGGGATTAGTCCCTATGGGAGACAACACTATGTGAATTGGAAGATCAGACTGTATCTTCAGGGTGGGGAAATAAGTTTTCTTCATTTATCTCTAATCTGGTCAATATCCTATCTCTACTGTGTCTTTGTGGAACAATATTAATTTGCTAAGAAAAAAATTGTAAGTTCTCACTTCAGGGAGAGATTTGTTAAGTTGCAATGCTTTTGTATTTCACACTCGAAATGTGTGAAATGTGCTCTTCTCTGGGACTCACCGAGATCAGATCAGGATGAGAGCAGGACATGAGTAAGTGTTGTTCTCCTATTCACTAGAGACCAGGGTGTGCAAAGACTGATCTAGCAAAGAGAAAGCGTACCTCTAAGGAATCAGGACTTGAGTGTGACTTTTAAAGAGAGACCCCTGGACTGCCATTGTCTTCTCTCAGCTCTGCTGTGGTCCTGGCCTCTCTGTCTCATCTAAGATAACTGTGTCTTGCTTTGTAGGACAATTACATTAACATCAGGGAAGAAGTCTGTGATAATAGCAGAGAAGGAAGTTACCATTTTGCCCTAAGTGGAAAGTCCTTTCAGGTCATTAATCAACATTTCAGCAGCCTACTGCCAAAGGTAAATTCTTAGAAGGTGCTAATCTCTGGGTAAACATGGTGACACCATCATTTACAGAACATGATGCTCAATAATTTCAAACCTTTAAACAGGTGAGGTATACCTATTGAATGTATCATAAAAGAGGTAGATATTTTTATAGAGGTTACTGTTACCTCATTTTCTACTAGATTTAAAATCAGTAAACTCAATTAGCCGATTTTCCATCATTTATAAAATTAAAGTTCTAGTGACTTCCCAAGTCATCAGGATGGCTTTGGGGTAGCAGTCACTATATTGCCATGGTTAGGAGTCTCACAATATAGAGAAAATCCAGCAATTATACAAGAAGACAGGCTACGAATAGAGGAATTCCATTATGTTTTTGATAGAGGACCTCTCCACAGAAGAGGGACAAACTGAAAAATATCCGGATGAAGAATAAACCCATAGTGGCTGATTTACTTGAATTTAATTATTCACCACCTTAGGCACTACTTAAGCAAAAAAAAAAAAATAAATAAATAAATAAAATAAAATAAAAAAAAATAAATAAAATAAAATGAAGGCTTTGAAGCTGAATGAACACTAAGCTGAGTTTACTACCAGGGAACATGCAGATCTAACACAGAGGAGTTCAGACTCTGTAGATTAGAGCTCCAGTGGAGGGACTGGGAGAGGTTTATAAACCACCAAACCATCAATGTTCCATAGTCCGAGTTAGGCTTGGGATATCAGCTACATTTTACAATTTGACAAACCCAGATGGTAATGGTTAAGTCAAAGACCACACATAATTACTTTGCTATTTCACCAATCGGCTGTTTTTCTGTTACGTAGTTCTGGGCAATTTTCTGAGAAGCAGTCACCTCCTTTCCTTTTCCTGAGATCCTTACAATTTCTCATGTGGTACTGGGCTTAAGGTTCCATTAAGCTCAGGATTTTTCAGGACCACATTCTCCATGGCCGCTGAGCTAAATTCTTATAAGCCATCCTTTTCACCAAGTATTTTCACTAAGGAGTCACCTTTACTGATATCAGTCTCCTTGGTCATTTACTTGATGACCAATGCCAACAATACCTGTCTTAAAATCCAAAGGAAGACTTCTTGGAAAACAATTTTTTTGTTGTTGTTGTTGCAGTCATGGATATCATCACCCGGTCAGTTTTATGGGAGTTATTGATTATGTCATGTATGACCAGCTGTCATAATAAAATATTTCTCTTTTGGGTTCCTTACAGATACTGATGAATGGGACCATCTTTGCCAGAATGTCTCCTGGGCAGAAATCCAGTCTGGTAGAAGAATTTCAGAAACTGGAGTAGGTCCTTTACCAGGTCGGGGGGTGTGAGGGGCAGGGAGGCTTGGCAGGTGGGAGAGAGTAAGAAGCACAGGGGCTGCTCTGTTTGGCTTGGTTCTTAACTTGGCTTCACATGTCAGTCACCCGGGGAGCTTTGAAAAAATAGCTGTATTGACTCAATTGCACACATGGGGCTTGGACATCGGTATTTTTTTAAAGCTCCTCACGTTAGTCAATTTTGCCTCCAGTCCTGAGAAACACTGACTAGAACATAAGAGGCATGAAAAGCTATGGCGAGGAACAAGCCTGGAAAGGTCATTTGAGCTCAGCTCCTGAAGTGCCAATGAACATTTATATTTTGTTTTTACAAATTATTATCACAGTTATGATATAGGGAGGTTTGTATGACAAGAGATTCACATAACCTTAAAATATTAAAAGTCTATGCCAAAGCATCCTCTTTATCCTAAATCAGAAAAATGATTTCTCTTCTAACACAAAACATCTCCATTGATAAAATGGTCAGTCCAAACAAAGTGCTTATCATTTGCGACCCTTTATTATTACAATTATTTGTTCATGGAGCCCATGGAGTCCTGAGGGCTTCCTCCACTTCTGGTGCTGGACCTCACAGATATGACTCTTACTCCTACTCACTGCTACTCCATCCTGCAACTCATTCAGTTCAGTCACGGGGCAAGCTTCTCGATTCAGAAAGCCTTGTCTTCTCAGCATGATTGAAAACCTAGACAGTGAACTAGTTGCCTTCACAAAGCAGTGTGTAAAAAGAAGCACGGCAAATTCTGTAAATGCTGCCAGAGTGCTCTTACCTTAACAGCAGACTATCCATACTCTTTGTCAACAACTTAGAAGAGCAGCATTCATTCAGCCTCAAAGAGCCATCCCGAAGAAGGGGTATATTTTCTTTCACTTCTGGGTCTGGCACTGCATTTTTTGTTGAGTGACTGCTAACCTGGCAGATTTCCTCTTGTGTTATAAATACTATTAGTAACACCAATATAGATCATTTTATTGGTCATTTCAGAATTTATAAGGCACTTTCCCATATGGCACCTCTCTGAATACTCACAACACTTTGTACGGGAAAAAAATGATAGTCCAAATAGTAAAGTGATTGGGTTAACGATCTGGATGTCGCAGTGTTAGACTCTGTGCCCTCTCTGCCGTGCCATGCTGTCTTATCCTACAGTTGTTACCATCCTGTTTTACCGCTGACAAAGCTCCTTCCCAAACAGTGAAGCGCAGAGTCTCCCTCAAACTCTTGGAGTCCAGAATGTGTCCTGGGTTTCTTAATCCATTGTAGGAACTGCTGAGTCAAATTTTACTCTTTAGTCAAATCAGATTATTAGGGAAACTGCCTTAAAATAATAAGTTTGAACCTTATGTAATGAAGCTCATTTTATCTTTTTAATGAGAGAAATTAGCTTTTAAGATTGCTTTGATCTTTTCTACAATTAACATGGTTCCCATTTAGTTACTTTGTAGGTATGTGCGGGGATGGAGCCAACGACTGTGGGGTAAGTAGCATGTGTGGCATCATAGTCTCGCACTCGACTGTACTTGCCCAGAGCCCTGTAGAGGTAGCATTTCCTGAGCTATACGCTTTCTCCAGTCCTCTTGATGGAAGAAATGATGCTGAGGGTTTGGGAGAGTTTTAACCAAAGCTACATAGTAACTCAGCGATCATTATAAACTACATGGGGTAGAATTTGCATGTGAAGTCCCCACTTCTTTCACTGGGTGTCCCAGTGCCATCTCTATCTTACGTGGCAGGCAGAGCAAAATCCGGTCATCTCCTAGCTAGTGCCTGAGCCCACAATCCACCTGGTGGACAGCTTCGTTGGCCTTTTTCTTACGTGGCCTCAGGAGAGAGGTGTGTGAGTGCGCATGGACAGTAAGCCGACTCTTTGCTTTCAGGCTTTGAAAATGGCTCATGTGGGAGTCTCTTTATCAGAGCAGGAGGCATCTGTGGCCTCGCCTTTTACTTCCAAAACTCCAAACATTGAGTGTGTGCCGCATCTTATCAAGTAAGTAAGCACTTTCATCAGCATTGTTTACATTTCATCTGACTTCTGTTGTTCATTTTATTTTATTTTATTTCACTATTTATTTATTTTAAAATTTTTAAATAAATGTTCAATATTATTTTGTTTTAGTTTCAGGTGTGCAGCATAGTGGATAGACAGTCATATACTTTACAAAGTGTTTCCCCTGATAGTTCCAATACCCAACTGGCACCATACGCAGTTATTACAATGTTATCTACCATGTTCCCTATGCTGTCCTTTACATCCCCATGATTATTCTGTAACTACCAGTCTGTACTTGTCAATCTTTTCACCTTTTTCACCTAGTCCCCCAAGCCCCCTCTCCCCTGGCAACCATCAGTTGGTTCTCTGTATCTGTATGCCGGTTTCTGTTTCTTATATTGTTCTTTAGATACTGCATATAAGTGAAACCATGTGATATGTGTCTTTCTCTGGCTGACTTATGGATCCCATTTTTCTGCGAGTCAAGGACCAGGGAAACTGCATTCTTGGGTGAGGAGGGTGCTTCGTGGGAGAATGCAGTCAAATGTTCTACACCCAAGCGGACTTACCAGGAGTTAAAAATAACACTGGGAGAGGCAGTGGCATTTTTTAAAAAAGATTTTATTTATTTATTTTTAGAGAAAGAGGAAGAGGAAAGAGAGAAAAAAAAAATTGATGTGGGAGAGGACATCACTCGATTGCCTCTCACACCCCGAATCAAGGACCTGGCCCGCAACCCAGGCCTGTGTCCTGACCGGGAATTGAACCAGTGACCTTTCAGTTTGCAGGACAATGCTCAACCCACCGAGCCACACAGGACAAGCAGTGGTGTTTCTACGTTTCTAATGAAAATCACTGAATAGGTTATTTTTAGAAGATTGGAATCTGGAACTCAGTACTGCTTTGAAAGTGTTACTCAAATTCTTTGTATTATTATTATTTTAAATGTATCTCCTTAGACACTTTATAGTGGGTGATGGGGAGAAACTTTCTTTTTCCCATTTGCCTTCCTCACTCTTGCCTCTTTATACTTCCTTGCGATATCTTTCCCATCTCTAGTTTTCAAAATATTTGTCTTCACTGTCTCTACTAAAATTTCCCTTGGTGCTCTAATCCCTGCCCCCTTACCCCAACATGTACTTCTGCTGCCTTTCATTTAACTGACAGAGATGGTGAGTGTTGTGGCTTCTTTTGGTTATTAGAACTAGTGTGTGTTCACATTTATAAAGTGCTTCAATGCCTGTTTTATTATACTCCAAAAAGCCCGGAGATGTAGTAATATTCACCATTTCTTCTACAAATAAAGAAACTGAGGCTCAGAGAACTACCCAAGCTCACGTAGCCATATAGGATTGGAGATCGTATTAGAGTTAATTCTGTGTAAATGTGTTTTATCTATAAATATTATACTCCTTTCACCACATTAAAATAATGATTTGGCTGGTTCCTCCCTTTTTTTTTTTATTTTTTCATGTGCTCAACAAATATTTATAATGTCACCACTTAGTGCCTGGAACAGTTGGAGGCGCTGGGGATTCAGAAGCAAGTAAATCAAGACAATGCCAATCTCATGATATTTTCCTCTGGGGAGGAAGTCAGCCAAAAAAGACCCTGAAAAACAACAAACACATGCATAGATAAACCAGGGATAATGTGAGAAGTAGGAAGATGACCTACTTCTTTCTACTTCTCACATTAGGAAGATGGGCAGGTGGAATTGGTTGCAGCAGGTGGGGCGGTCTGGCAAAGCCTTTCTAAGAAGGTGAGGAGTGGGGAGAAACTCCCCTCTAGACAGAGCGAATAGCAGCTGCTAAGCCCTGGTGCAGGAGAAAGCTTGGTGTGAGGACCAGGCTTTGGAATCGTGGGAACTGTTACGATCAGAAGTAAATTTACAGTCTATTTTTTCCCAAATGAAATAAATAGAGTGGTATTGTGTAAGTAATTTATTTTCTGCTTTAAATATATACTATTTACTCAAAAGTAAAACAATAGTAACAAAAATGAACATACTTGTTTCTAGTCTATTTAAATTTGATATATATCTAATGTGAGTGTATATGTTGTTTTAGCCCAGTTTTAGAAAAAGTTGAGACTTTCAAATGCCATTTGAATGAAAAGTTTGCCAGACTCCTGAAGCACCTCCCTGAAAATAGCCCCCAAACCTGAGATCTTATTTATATTCCTCAGTTCACAGATGAAGAAACTGTGAGCAAGAGAAGAGAAACGGCCTTCCGACTCTCATTAGTATGAGACCTGGGACCAGCCCAAGTCCCCGGACTCTGAACTGAAATAATGCCCCCAGAAAGGACAAGAGGAACTCTAAATGTGGCTCCCTGCCTGGGTCAAGGCCTGTGGACCTTGGAGTGGACCCGGCCTTTCCCGAAAATGTAGTCATTTAGCACACTGACAGTGGGCTTTTCCCACTGGCTCATGGCTGTCCAGTCTGTCAGGCAAACAATGGAATAATCAGGCTTTTGATCTTTCCTCCTGAGCTCAGCTGAACAGCACAGAATAACTGACCTCATTTCTTTTCATTCCTTTCACTTCATTCCTTTTGCATTTCTTTTCTCTCACAGGGAAGGACGTGCAGCTCTCGTGACCTCATTTTGCATGTTTAAGTACATGGCTCTGTACAGCATGATTCAGTATGTTGGTGTTCTGCTGCTCTACTGGGTATGACCTGGGACCTAGCCTCTTGGTTAGTGAGAACTGAGACAAGGGGCGGTGCACTCTCAGTACGCAATGCCTCTTAAACGAAGTGCAAATAGAAGATTTGAGCACGGACCGCCCCTCTAAAACTTTAACGTTTTGAAAATAAATCAGAAGTAGACAAATGTACACAGGAAAACCTGTGAGTGCTATTTCTCTGACTCTGATAGTCTAAAGGTAGCTGAGGATCAGAATGGAACAAATCGCTCTCACTGTTGCTTTTGCCTGCTTAGATCAGGTCTCTATCTTTCCAATCCAGTATGGCTCACCCCTCACACACTATTCTCTACAGACATGATTCTCTGATTAGGTGCTGCAATGTGTCATGACTGGCTCTCCCTGGAAAAACGAGCCCTGATTATTATTGTTCGCCAATTTCAGTGGTGAAAGTACTCCCACCATGGCTGGTTTCAAGCTATCCACCTGAACATAGAGTTGGGGAGAGATGTACAATAGCATACCATTAAGTAGTACTTGCACCACATACATACAAGAGTTATGAATAACCTCAAGAACATATATAAACATTAAAATGTGGGAAAATGATTAGAAGGTGCTGAGTTTTGAGTATTTATTACCTCTTTTTTTCAGTATAATTTAATAGTAAATTTGTATAATTTAAGATTTTATATTGGCTGTATTTAACAACCGGCTCACAAAATTTCTGAAAATCTAGGAGGAGACTCTTATGAGCCAGTATGAGCCAGCATATCACTGATTCCCTGAACATAGGGGTTTGAAAATTAGCATACCATACCACAAAAAATACATAGATCTTGTGATGGCTTTCACCATTTGACCAAACATAAAGGGAGAACACACATGATTACTGCTTGTGGACTCAACATATAGTGCCTTTTTCTATTAGTTAACGCAGAGAAAGGGAGTGCTTTTTGTACTGGAAGCACCTAGATTCATCTCTGTATCTTGTCCTTCAACTTGGGTTGAAAAGTTTTATTTCTTTTATCTTTAGATTATTCATGTCTTTTCCCACTCACTAATGACTGAACTAGAGAAGAAGAGGCTATTTATAAAAATTTGGCCCTCTTGTGAAATATCAATAGCTCTTGCTCAAAGCTAGAGTTAAACATGGGTCATCATTATCTCCTTTCCACCAGAGGGTAAGGGGCAAGGAAGGAAGTTACTTAAAATCTGTAAGACCTAAGTGTTTTTTTCCTCAAGGATCAGGGTGCTTTATCAGGGACTTTCAAAAAACACCCAAGAATGCACATAGTTTGTTCAGTTCTTGTCATTTTCCATCAGTAAAATTTAGGTATGATCATCACACATTGGCCACTTGTTACTGCTGGGAATGCACTCTTCTTTTAGTGTGCTAGACCGAACCCCAACTCTCCTGCTAGCCAGTGGAAAAGAGAGCAGGGATGCATCTGGTAGAGTGAGATATGCTCTGCAACACGGGCGATAATAATGCACGAAGGACCCAGCCCAGAAAGCACACGATGGGGGCCCTCCTGGTGAGACAGGGTTTCACAGCCTTGTCTCTAGTCCTCCCATCAATCTAAATAGGCCCCTGGCCACACCATCTCCTTGGTAATTTGCTTTACAGTCCTATGTTGCAGTGAGAAAATGAATGAAATTGATGTCAGACTTCACCCAGAAGCTCACAACTCTTTTGAGCTGCTTTCCTTTTATTTTCAGGAGACGAACAGCCTATCGAATTACCAGTTTCTGTTCCAAGATCTGGCCATTACAACTCTTATTGGTGTAACAAGTAAGACGTTTTTAAAACTTTCTTTCCAAAGGTGCTCCCCTCAGCTTGCCTCCCTCTGCCCCAGAAGGGCTGGTCCACCAGGAGGGCAGGGACAGCAGCTGCCGCAGATGTGATGTGTGACTTATTCCTAAAGGAATATACAGAGAGGTAAAGAGAGAACAATCCTCATTTTTGAGTGTTGAAAGAAAGTGTTAGCCACAAAAGCTGGCTAGTTACTTTGCTGTTTCCCACAAAATACAGAGCTTCCATAAAAGGTCACTAAATAGTTAAAATAAAAAAAAATCTTGAAAAACTCAGGAACACTGATTCTAGTGTGTTTTTAGGTAGCGGTATGGTTAAAATGTGCTCAGTATATAGCTTATCTGTTTTCCGTCTCCAAATCCTAGCCTCTCAAGATCTAGAACAGAGATTAAAGGTCATCTTGCCGTTATACCACTCTCACCCCTCCCTTCTAACTAATCTGTGAATTACTTTCCAATTCCCCTGGCAAGGAATTTTCATCCCGACCCACGTACTAACCATCATCTTTACCAAATTCTCTGCTTTCCTGGCTGTTACATATAAATGCCAACAGCCTCACTTGTACTGTTAACCCTACCTCCCCTTATTCTCATAAGGGCTTTGTTCATGTAGTAATTCCTTCTTCCATCATGGTCAACTTTTCTCTGGGCTACTGGATGATTCCTTACCAGCATATAAGTATATTTCCATCTCTTCTTTCCTTAAAAGCTTTCTCCTTGACCCAAATCAACTGCTATCTGCCAAACTTCCTCATTAGCTGTGTATACCCACTTTCTCCACTTGTTATCTTTAATCTTATTATTTCAGCCAGATTCTAACATTCAAAAGGTATGAACTTGGATACTTGGCCTGTGCTCCTGTTTGAGGGGAGGCAATGGTAGGTTGGCAAATGTTTAACAATTGGCATTACAAGAAAAATCTTTGTACACATATGCACATAAGTTTTTATGAACTGAAAAGAAATATGTGGTGAGAATTTTCAAATAATAATACAATATACAATGCATTATTGTATATTCACTATTCCATTTAGCCAATTGATTCTCACAGGATGCTTTTTCTGAGGGTTTACCAAATTCTTGTATCCATAGTCAACCTATGCTTTAGCATAAATCTTTGTTGACTTTTTTTTTTTACCTAAATGGCAAAATAGCAAAAATTTATGTTGAAACTTTAACCATTCATCAGTGATGTGAGCAACTTATTTGCTGAATTGGATAATAGTTGTTGAATGCTGGAAGATTATTTCCTCAGGAAAAAAAAATTCATTCATGAATGGCTACAGACATGCCACACTTTTAAGTTTAATTTCCATTATTAACTTCAAGAACATAGATAATTTTAAAATGTGAAATAATTAAGAAATTATCCATTTTGAGTGTTCATTATCTTTGTTTTTCATATATTTATTAAGCTGTAAGTTTATGTAATATACTTTTACTAATGGCTACATTTAATAACTGGCTTGCACATTTAGCAGGCATTGGCCCTTAGGAGCCAAGGTGAGCCAGCCTTAGCCACCCCTGGCTGGGAGGATGCACGTTATTGGCACGCGAAAAAGTACATCTTAGATTGCCTCTTCCCCATGCCTCATGGTCTTGCTTTCACATTATTTCCTCTTATATTTTCCCATCATAATCTTAACAACTATCACAGCAACTTATCATTTTAAAAACTGGTTCAAAAGCTCTGTTTTTGGAGAATGAGCTCACAGGGGGCAGCTGCTGTCTACGCTTCCACGTCTCCCTTACCGATGCTGCTTTTGTCAAGCCCATCAATGACTCTCATTGACAGCCATGGCCACTTCTCTCTCCTGATTGTACCTGAATCTCTCAGCAACTATTTCCTTCTGCAAAAGGTTTCTTCTGTTGCGTCTGTGATACCACGCCCTCCTGCATTATCTATCACTGTTGCGAGTACAGTTTTCCTGTCTCTTTTGCTGGCCTCTACTCCTTTAACTATCTTCTCACTCTTGGAATGTTCCAAGCCTTTTTCTCGAGTTCTTTTGTCTTCTCAATCTACACCATCTCTGTAAGTGATTTCAACCACTCCTATGACTTTACTGTCACCTACATGCTGATGTACCCCCAATTTATATCCCTGGCCTTGATACCTACCTTGAGCTCTAGAAATGCCTCAACTCAGCAACTAATTTTGGATATTTAACAGAATGTAGAATTAGCATGCCCAAATAGAACTCTTTATTCTATCTTATCTTATAATTAACAAAACCGTTTAAAAATTTACTGACTAGATTGTAGTACTTACTACTACCTAGGTGTGTGAAAGAAAAACAACAAAATGGAGTTAATATTGTCAATAGAACAATCTAAAAGGGAGCCAGGAGACCTCTGGGAAGCTACACGAACTCACCCCCCTCCACGTGGAACTGAACTTTTGAACTGGGCTAAACCACAAATGGCTGCCTTCTGAACTGGCTCTGCATCAGTGAACTCTCTATTAAGAAATAAAATTCTCACCTAGAAACAGGCATAGGCAATTAATCATATATATAGCATAGTGTAAGTTTGCTTGTAAGCATCAATCACAGCTATTTTAAAACAACTGTGTAACGTCTTTGAACAATACCTCCCACCCCCTACCCCCTGCCTTTTTTTCTTTTTCCCTTGGTACACAATCAGGTCTCTACCAAAATGTGTGTCATAAATTGCAATTCGTAAGGCCCCAAATAAAGTTTTCATTTGCTTTGCAGGTATTGGTCAAAATTAATTGATATTGGCACTTGGGATATGTCAGTGAAGAAAAAATTCCTTAAAATAACATCATTATCTATCTGATTGTTCAAAGACCTGGAGTCATCTTTAATTTTTCTCTTTTCTTTATCCTTCACAACCAATACATATGAAATTCCTATTGGCTCTACCTCCAAAACATATCCTGTTCCCTTCTCTCCATCTCTGCTCTAGCCACGGTCTCAGAACAAGGTTACGGCCCCTTAGATTACTGCAGTAACTCTACAACTAATCTTGCTTCCCCTCTTACTGCCTTCCCTTCACTTTCATTTACCTTTCAGACAGTGATGAGAGTGATAGTTTTTTAAATTTAAATTTGATTGTCATACTCCAGCTTAAAATGCTCCAGTGGCTTCTCATTTCTACTAAATCCAAAGTCTTACACAACTTATTTCTGCCTACTTTTCCAACTGCACATCTAAGCACATTGCTATTCACTTACTGTTCTAGGTGCGCTAGTCTGTCTGTCTCCTGAGCATTGCCAAGTTTGTAGTCACCTTATCTCCTTTGATTTTGCTATTTTCTTTGCCTAAACTACTTACCTTTCAGATCTTCATATGACTTTGACTGCTTTTTATTATTCAGATTTTAGCTCAAATGCCACCACCTCAAGAAGGTCACTTTAAATAATGACCAAGCCAATTATTCTCCAGCACACAATTCTGTTTTATTTTTTCACAGTACTCATCACAATCTGAAATTATATTGATCTGTTTTTATTTGTTTTTGCCTGCCTCTCCTCACCCAAAGTATGTACTTCATAAGAGCAGCACCTTGTCTGTCTTGATCATTGCTGTATTCCTAATACACCTAACAGTGCCCGACAGATCAAAAAAGCTCATTAAGTATTTGTTAAATCTATTGAAAGAACAGTCTGGGACAGTCCTTATTGTTAGCAGAGTTCTCTTTCCCATCAGACCAAATCTACCTCCTTGTAACTTTCACCCATCACAGTTCTGCCATTTGGAGTGGCACAGAATAGTCTACACTTTCTCCCCATGACAGTCTTTCAGATATTTGAAAACAGTTCTAATTTAACCTGTGATTATTCTCTTCTACCTAACAACCAACTCCAGTGTTTTGTTTCTATTTTTTGACAAATAACTTGATCCTTTTTTATATTTATCTTTGATTAACATATAGTCATTGTGAAAAGAAGATATGACAAAGAAAAAAAAACTTCCTTTATCCTAATCCACAGCTAACCAATTAAAGCATTTTGATATACTTCCTTTTGGTCATATATATGTGTATGTATCTATATATGTGTGTATGTGTGTATACATATGTGTGTATATACATACATATACGTATACATATATAAAGAAATTTGAATCATGTTTTCTATGTAATTATGCATGCTGTTTTTCATTTAACTTTGTAAGTACTTTTAAATGTTATTAAATATTTTAATTTTTTTATTGTGGTAAAATGTGTATAACAAAATTTGCCACTTTTGTCATTTGTAACTGTATAGTTCAGGAGCATTAATTACATTCACAATGTTGTACAACTATCACCACTAACTGTTTCCAAAACTTTATCATCGCCCCAAACAGAAACTCTGTACCTATTAAAAAATCACTCCCCATTGCCCTCCCTCTAAGCTTCTGGTAACCTCTAATCTACTTTTTGTTGCTATAAATTTGCCTATTCAGAATATTTTCAATAAGTCAAAGTGTACAATATTTGCCCCTTTGTGTCCGGCTTATTTCACTTAGCACAATGTTTTCAAGGTTCATCTATGTTGCAGCATGTATCAGAACTTTATTTCTTTATAATGGCTGAATAATATCCCATTAAATGTACATACCGCATTTTGTTATCCATTTATGCATTGATGGACTTTGGTTGCTTCCACTTTTCGTTTATTGTGAATAATGCTGCAATGAACCTTTGCATATAATATCTGTTTGAGGTCTTATTTTCAATTCTTTTTGGTACAGAAATGAAATTACTGTTTTTGGAGAACTATTTTCCATAGTGACTGCATCAATTTACATTCTCACCACCAATGTATAATGGTTCCAATTTCTCCACAGCCTCATCAATGTGTTAACTTTAATAAGATTATTTTAGATATTCTAATAGTATGGAGTAGTATCTTACAGTGATTTGGATTTTCATTTCTCTGATGACTAATAATGTTGACATATTTTCATGTGCTTGTAGCTATTTGTGTGTCTTATTTGGAGAAATGTTTATTCAAGTCTTTTGCCCATTTCTTAACTGGATTTTTATCTTTTGACTCCCAAGTTCTGGAGTTCTTCATATACTGTGGATATTAAAACCTTATTAGATATATAATTCAAAACATTTTCTCTCATTCTATATATTGTATTTTCACTTTTTTGATGTATTTTGTTATATAAAAGTGTTTAATTTTGATTAAGCTCAATTTATCTATTTTTTTCTGTTGTTGCTTATACTTTGGTTGTCTTATCTAAGAATCCATTGCTAAATTAAAGGTCATCAAGGTTTACCCTGTTTTTCTTCTAAGAATTTTTTAATGATTTTTAGCTCTTGTATTTAAATCATTGATACATTTTTTATAAATGGTGTGAGCAAGGGGGTCCACCTTCATTATTTAACATGTGGAAATCCAGTTGTCCCAACACAATTTGTTATAGAAACTGTTCTTTTTCCCATTTAATAGTCAATGCTCATTGAAAACCAATTGGCCATACACATATGGGTTTATTTTTGGATGTGTAGTTCTATTCCACTGGTCAGTATGTCTACCATTATGCCAGTAACATACTGTTTTGATTACTGTCTTTGTAGTAAGTTAGAAATCAGAATGTGTGAGTCTTCCAATATTGTTCTCCTTTTCCAAGATTTGTTTGACTTTCCCACAAGAATTTGAGAGTCAGCTTTTCCTTTCTGAAAAAAAAAAAGCTGTTTGAACTTTGACAGAGAGTGCACTGAATCTCTAGATCACTTTAAGTAGTACTGACATTGTGACAAAATTACATCTTTCAATCCATGAACATTGGGTGTATTTCAATTTATTTATGTTTTCTTTAGTTTCTGTCAGCAAAGTTTTATTATTTTCAGTGTACAAGTCTTTTTGCTCTTTGGTTAGACTTATTTCTAGGTATGTATTCTTTTGGATGCTATTGAATTGGAACTATATTCTTAATTTCCTTTTTAAATTGTTTGTTGCCAATGTATAAAAACACAACTGATTTTTATGTGTTGCTCTTGTACCTTACAACATAGCTGAATATGTTTACTAACTCTAGTAGTTTCCTTGCGGGTTTTTTTTGGGATTTCCCCTATACAGAACAATGTCACTTGTGAATAGAGATAGTTTTACTTCTTCCTTACAATTTGGATGACTTTTATTTCTTCTTTAATCACTCTGGATAGAATGTCCAGTACAATGTTAAATAGCAGTGATGAAAGTGATCATCCTTTCCTTGTTCCTGGTGTTAGGGCAAAAGCTTTCAGTCTTTCACCATTGAGTACGATGTTAGCTGTGGGTTTTCATTGTAAAATAGATAACCATGGGGATTACATGTCACATCCTCAATTTATAATAATCTAGTTTGGATTGATCATTTAACTTCCATAACATGCCAAAACTCTCTTATTATATAGCTCTGTCTCCCCATATTATTTGTCATAAGTGCCCAGTAACTTAGATAAATAATTATTTTATTCACTTGTCTTTTAAATAATGTAGGAATATAAAGTAGAGTTAAAAACCAAAAATACAATAATACATACTTTCACATTTGTCCAAATAGTTACCTTTACTAGTCAAAATGAGAATGTCAAAAAAGAGATAAGAATTATAAAAAGAATGCTTTAAAAAATTTCTTTTGGCTCCTTTTTACAATTTCTGTCTCTTTATTGACATTCTGATTTTGTTCATACATTATTTTCCCGATTTCATTGAGTTCTTGGAGCATACTTAAGACTCTTGTTTTAAAATCTTTGCTCAGTAAGTTCAATACCTGGACTTGCTTAGAGGTGATGTTTATTAACGTCTTAACTCTGAAAATCAGACTCTCCCCTTTGCCTTGGCCTTGATGCTTTTTCTTTTGCTGTTTTTTTGAAAGCCCTAGTAATCCATTTGTTTAGTGACTTTCCTAAATCATTTTTATAGAGACTGTATCAGTGGTCATGTGTGGTCGCTGAAATCTCTGTTCCTTTAGCTTTGGTTCAGGTAGTGTTTTGACAGAGTTCCTTGAACTCTGTGAGTTCAAAAATGGGAATGACAAAGAAAATACCTCTCCCAATTGTTGCTGATTCATTCTGTTCTGGGCACTTCAGCACTTGGCCAGGCTTGTGTTGAGTCTGGAGATCATCCAGAGGTGAAAGCACAGGGTTTTTCTGGTCTTTTCTCAGCATGCATCTTGACCCAGGCATGCACATGACTTTCTATATTCCCCAACACTCACAGGAGACTGTGAATACCATAATTTCCCAAAGAAATGTGCTTTAGCTTTTCTTTCCAGACTTTAGGCATTGATTTTATGTGTCAACTGTAATCTTTTGTCTCAGGTGACTACGTACAGTTTGTTAGCTTTACAATACTTTGGCACAGTGCATGCTGCTTCCCCACTCGCTGTCAGTTGTGCATTAGGTGGAACAGAGGTGAACACCTCGCACCAGTCCTTCAGGGAGTCCCCAGACAAGTTAGAACAGGCATGCAGAATAATTCGTGGACAAAGTTGCTCTCCCCCCTCTGTAAGCAAGGACCAGGTTCCCCCACCATGTGTGTGTGCTGCCATCTTTAAGACAGTCATCGAGCTGGGGGTGGCAAGGGCAAGTAGAAGTGCACCAAGCTTCCCTAGCATTTTTAAGTTGCCTTTTTCTTGATTCAGCAATTCTTTGCATGCTGTAAATCTTTGTCTATTTATCATATTTCTGACAAAGTTTGTTCTTACAGTTTTTGCTTGTTTTTCAATGTTTCTGTGGAGGGATGGGGGTCTCAGAGTTGCTTACTCCATTATTTTGCAGATGTAACTCATCATTTTATTCCTTAAATATTTGAAAGCATTAGTTCTTAGGGACAGCATGTTGTTCCATTACATACATGTGCCATAATTGTAAACTATGCTATGATGAACATCTTTCTCTATGTCTGATATTTTTTAGCATAGAATAAATTCCAGAAGTGGAATGACTGTATGAAAAGTTATGAAAATTTTTCAGTCCCTTCATATTCATTACCAAATTGCCCTTCAGAAGGGTTTTTTTTTGTTTTTGTTTTTGTTAATTTACATGCCCACAAGCAGTGGAAGTATGAATTTTAATACTCCCTCATCTATAATTTAATAGTTTTTGCCCATAGGCACAAAGTGGGCATCTTGTGGTGGTTCTATGTCTGCCATCTTAAGAATTTCTCATATGACTTCAGTTTGAATCCATTTGTTGTATTGTTCACTCAGTTTTTTATGTATATTATGAAAATTTGTCAATTTTCTCAGATGTGTGAGCCCAAGAAGTTAAACCATTCTTCTGAAGAATACAACACTTTCCTGCTCTCATACATACAAAATTTGAATTTATTTTATAGTGAGTTTGAATGGTGCCTACCCTAAGCTGGTGCCTTTCAGACCTGCAGGACGGCTGATCTCCCCGCCTTTGCTGCTCTCTGTGATCTTCAACATCCTTCTCAGCCTGGCCATGCACATTGTGGGCTTCCTTCTGGTTCAGAGACAGCCTTGGTATAAAATGGAGATACACAGGTATGATCGCAGACTTGATTCCAGCTTCCCACACTCCAATTTCTATCAAACCCATATGATGAGAGGCAACTGGGTCTTTACTCTGCCAAAGAATTTGGCTCCCATAAGTCCTTTGGGTAATTTTCCAGTGAACTTTATTTCTCTGTAGCACAATTTGATGGTAACATTTATTGGCACCCATCTTTGCCTATCTTAGGTAATGATGTATGACCATCTTTTTTATCTAGAGTGACCATGCATTGTAGTTTTCCTGGACATCCCCAGTTTAAGCCTGATATCCAATTAAATTATTAATTTCTTTCCATATTCAATCTGTTCCTGTTGAATGATAAACTATATGGTCACTCTACTTATGTATTTTTAGAGACTTTACACCACTAGAGGGAAGAATTATTACTTACTCATTTCTCTCTCTCCCATATAGTCTTAATAGACATGATTGGTGCTCAATTTTTCCATAAATAACTTAGATCTATCTATCTATCTATCTATCTAGTCTATCTATCAATTATCCATCTATCTAAAAATGGATCTATTTGTGTGGTTTCTTTCTCCTTATTTTTCAGTATATTCTTTCCTAACGTGTAGGCAATTACAGAAACATTGAGGGTATGGCGTCTTGTGTGTATGCTCCATAGGTGTCTGCCATCCTACTTCATTAGCTGCTTTGGTTTCCTTTTTAGTGACTACACAGTGCAAAATGAAAGCATCTCAAAGTTAACCACCTCTCCAACTGCTCCAAGCAAAGTTGGAAGTGATGGTGCCTTCCCAAGTTTTGAAAACACTACTATATGGTTCTTGGGAACAATCAACTGTATTATTGTGGCTCTTATCTTCTCTAAAGGAAAACCATTTAGACAGCCAACTTACAAAAACTGTGAGTAAAATTGTATGGAATCAGAGGTGAGAGGTCATCTCACCTCTGGGTTGGCCCATATACAGTGTCTCCTGATTTCTACTCCAGCCCTCTGTAGAACACACTCTGTAGCCTCATTTTGTGGCCTTTTGCTCCCTCCTTCAAAGCTGCATGAAATACTAAGACTTCTTTATCTACTTCTTACCTTCACTAGAAATGTGTCTCTAGGTGTCTTTTGATGGGATCCCTTGAAATTGGGAAGACTCATTTATTTCTACCCTTGTCAGAGGAGGCGGGGAGAAGGGACACAGAGCTCAGTCGGAACACGTCTCCTGCCATGGAGACAATAGTCAGGATGGCATTGTGTGGTCGACAGGCTCGGAGGGGATCCAGCCTGGAGAACCTGGCTACAGACAGTTACAGACAATGGTGGAGGTTCTTGGCCAAAGCACCTCCTACTTACTTCCTTACATTCTGGGCTGAGGGTGGGACGTGTGTTAGGAAAAGTAGGTGACCTGCTTTGCCTTTTGGACATTTATTTGGATACCATCATTTGCCCCTCTAACTGGGAAAATTTAGAAGCAAGTTGAAAAGTCAATATCCTTATTAAAGCTTGTTCAGAGAAAATTATTTTGCACTTCTTCTTGGGATGACAAAGCAGTTGATTGCCTACCTCCACATGACTGCAATTTAAACATTTGTTTATTTACATCCTTCCTTCATTTCCAGAAAAGGATTTGAGGTGGATGATTTGTATTAAAGGGACTCAGATACTTGGATGCCTTCAAGGCATTTATTTTGTAATAATAAAAATAAATTTAAAAAAAATTTTTAAAAATATTACCCTATCTATATTCCCCACTTTTATTAATTGAAACCTATCACACAGATGTGAAAAATTTCACTTGCTTCAAGGACATGCATAGAAATTTTAAAGGTGAGACCCATTGCATAGAAATGAGCACTTTCCATCTATTATGCTGTGTTTGGATGTGAAAATCAAGTAAATCTAATCAGCATTAATCTAGAATATATCTTTCAATAGATGTGACACTGTATATTCTGAATTCTGTAAATGATAGTTTGTGTTCTTATTTCCTCAGATATCTTTGTCCTTGTACTGATCATACAGCTGGCTGTGTGTCTCTTCATTCTATTTGCTGATGTTCCAGATTTATATAGGCGTTTGGATGTAAGTCTCATCTCAGGGATATGACGTTTTATAGTTATTTAATACCCTGATTTAAAAAAGGAGGTCACAATTGCAATTGACATGGATTCTTGACATCAATTATTCCTTTGGGGCAGTTTTTTGAATATTGAATTTATTCATGTTTTTTATTTAAGCTGGTCAGGAAATAAAATTCCCTCTAGTCTTGATTTCCAAGTATTTCAAAAGCATTGTACATCTTTCTTTTAAAAAATTCCCTTTAAGACTAGAAAATCTATTTATACATTTCTTTCTCAAATGTGAGAAAATTTCCCCCTAAATGCTTCTGTTTTGAAACTGTTTAAAACAGTTTTGTCTATAACACTTTTTCAGTTAATTCTTAAATCTATATTTACATCTTGTTTTTTTTTTACCTCTTTAGAAATGTGTTTTTTCTGATGTTCATGGTTGATGTCAGCAAAGCATACTTTCAAAGAGCCATGACTTACCTCATGAACTGGCTTAGGTTTTATAACAACTTTGAAACCTTGTAAGAGAAAGAAATTTTATGTATTCAAGCAATGGGAAAAAATATATATATTTTGATTCTTCTAGCCTATGCTACTTTTCAGTTAGAAGTTAATCATTAGTAAATGTCCTTTAGACCAGTAAACAGAAAGCAGAAGAGAAGATAAAAGAAACTGAGCTTTTTTTTTTCTTCTTCCACTTAGTGCTTTGTAAACCTGCCTCCCTGCCTCTCCATCTCAAAGACAAGATTCTCAGGGGCCAAGATCCTATCTTATTCATTCTCATATAGACAGTGCCTTGCACAGCAAATGGTACATAATGGTGACAAATGACTGCCGGATGGGTGTACATCAGTGTCTTAAGTGTAGACAAGCACTTGGAGCATTCCAAGCCAACAATATCTTCACAAACCCAGCGTGACATAGAAACTAATGTCTATATTCAGTTTTCATTTTTGTAATTGCATTACTGTGGTGAAGAGTGTAATTGCCACTGTTGTTAAGTGTCTTCATGCATTACATTAGGTACTCATGGAGATAGTCTTTGCCTACTAGTCTTCCAAATGAGCTAAAACTTTGTAACCCTGCAGAAGTTAAGGTTAAGAAATGCTGGGTTTAGTCACACTCTTTATGAGTGAAGACTGTAACAGAGAGGCTTGGTTTCTCAGCATAGCAAAATAAGAACATGTTTAGTTTGAAGGGAACATGCGTGAAGTCATTGCTAGCATGACTGCAAAAGATTCTGCAAGGAATTATTGCTTGCTTTAAAAATAATTACTTTTCTTATTAGTACATTAAGTTGTGAGTACATTTTAGAAATGTGAGTATGCAGGCAGGGAAAATTATAACATTGTTCACTTTATTCTTCCATCTTTAAAAATTCATATATTATAAACATGTTTTATGTTATTTATTTTATTTTAAATGGAATCATGATGTTTTGCAACCTAGATATTGCCCATTTTTAAAAAAAATGCATGGATTGTTTAAATAGAGAATACATGATTTAAAAGGTAGAAGTTAGATGATATGTAATGAAAAATCTCCCTTCCATCTTTGTTCCCCAGCTACCAGTTCCCCTCTTTGGAGGCAACTGATGACACCAGTTTATTTTACATACTTTCAGATATACTTTTTAAAATTATTTTTTAATTCTCATCCAAAGATAGGCTTATTGATTTTGGAGAGAGGGAAATGATGGGAGAGAGAGAGAGAAGCACTGATGTGAGAGAGAAACATCTCTCCTTTGCCTCTTGTAGGCACCCTGACTGGGGACCAAACCCGCAACCTTTTGGTTTACCAACCTATGTCCCAACCAACTGAGCCACACTGACCAGGACATTTCAGACATTTTTTTTAACATATGTACTGCAATTTGTATGTGTATGTGTTTCATATATATATTCTGCCACATTGTTACACAAATAGTAGCAAACGATTACATTCGTCTAGGTCTTTTGAAATAGAGATGTCAAGGTGAGATGAGATGTGTGAAAGAAAGTTATTAGAGGGGCTTCCTATGGGAGAATAAAAATCAGGAAGCTAGAGAAGGTGGGGAGTGTACCACACCATGTGGCCTGACCCCTACGGAAGTAGAAAGGAAGGAGGAATAGATGAGGGAAGTTTCAGACTACAGCACAGTTCTAAGGAGCTCAAGTCTAAGTTGTCCATCAGAGGTGTCTAGTGTCTCACAGGAGTGACTGTGATTGGAAGCCCTGCTGTCCTCAGTTATTGGCCATGAGCAGCCCATGGGACACGTGGCCTTGGGATGAACGTGGTGGCAGATTCTGAGTCTAGCAGCTGGGGCATCTGTCACTATCTTCCTAGCAGCAGGAGAGCTGAGAGGAGCATTGTTGTGGCTGCTACAAGCACATAAATACCCCTGCGCCTTGTTGTTTTGTAGAACAGTGTATTTTGGTAATCGATCTATATCAGCACAGAAAGTTTCCTCTTTCTTTTTATGCTAATATAGTATTTCATTTTATATATATATCATAATTCATGTGTAGTCCCCTATGACAAACATTTAAATTGTTCTCAATTTTTTTACTATTATAAACAAAGCTGCATTAGAATAACCTTATACATATATCATTTCAACCATGTATGAGTACATCTCTAGGGTAAGTTCCTAGAAATGAATTTGAAGTTATAATTATAATAGCATGGCCCTCTGTAGAGTCATACCAGTCTTTACTCCCACCAGTGTAAAGGCAATGGTAGAGGCAGTGCCAGGCATAATGCACTTGGCTTTGTTTCATTCATTCATTCATTCACTCACTCACTCACTCATTCATCCATCCATGTAACATATATAAATATATGACATCTGTATCTTGAGCCTGGGGAGGGGTTAGGGAAGATACAGAGGAAGTGGGGAGAGAGACAGGTAGTGACAGCTTGGTTTCAGCCCCACTTGCTCTGCTGGTGAGCCCTCCTGAGACAGCACAGCCTGTGCCACTGAACACACAGTCCTGAGAGGAAAGCCCAGACCAAGGGTGCAACAGCACGGCCTGGGAGAGGAGGGGAGATGTCCATGCGGTATGTCCACGTGGAGGTTTGACATGTGTAACCTCAGAGCCTCCTGGGAGTAGGGCCACATTCCTGTATTCCCTCATTAAAAAAACCAAACAAAAGTTACTTTTCCTATTGTTCATTGTTGTACGGTGACCAGATATATTTTAGGAAGTTTAGAAATTACAGAGAAAAAATAAGAAGAAAAGAAAGAAGATAAAAGGAAGTAGTTATTATAGTTCCCAAATCATTGGATCATTGGGTATAATCCTTCCACACTGTTTTCTGTGCATACATGCATAGAAGTCTTACATGCATAAACATGCACGTTCTACTTGTATACAACACACATACACATGCATGTAGGTGTCTGTTACATATGTAATTTATAACCTATGAAACATGTGACCATTTTCTGGCATGTGTTTATCTTCAGACTAACTGTGCTTCTTTGTTCCCTTCCAGTTGCTCTGCACTCCGGTTCTGTGGAGGGTCTACATTGTCATTATGCTCAGCTGCAATTTCATTGTGTCCCTTATTGTGGAGGTAAGTGCCCTCTGGCTGTTAATCATTTGGGGGGGTGGCATTTTGGGGGAGTCCAAAAAAGGAACAGCATTAGCTGACAAGGCTCAGCAGTGCAAAGGGCTTCCTTCCTTGGCAACATGAGCAGTGGTGCTTTCCTCTGATGGGCTCAAAACAAGGTGTTTGTTTTCCCATCTGTAAAGTAGAGCTGGGGAGACTAGAATTGTGATCTCTGAGGTCATAGTATTTCTAAAATTGACAAATAAAGACCCAACTCAATTCATTTTTTGAAATTGAGATATGATTTACACACTATAAAATTTACCTTTTAAAAGTGTACAATTTAGGGATTTTTAATGTATGAGTATTTATTGAGTTGTGCAACCACCACCACCATCTAATTCTGAAATATTATCATCACACCAAAAGCAATCCTGTACCTATTACCAGTCATTCCTCCACCCCCTGGCAATCACTAATTTATTGTTTTACTCTGGAGATTTCATACAATGAAATCATACAATATGTGGCCTTTTGTGTCTGACTTCTTTCACTTAAATTGAATCATTTTTAGTTTATAGATGGGAAATGAGATTCATGGTGAGTTTCTCCTGGCTTTATTCTTCAGCTTTCATTTCCTTATTAAATTAATCTTCTTCTCCCCCTTTTCTTTGCTTTGTGATTCATTCTGTCCTTCAGTGCTCTTGGCCACAATCTCTATTCTTTCAAAATGAACTGTTAGTAAGATGATGCTCCCCCACGCCCCCCAAATGCATCCATTTTGAAGGAGAGATGAGCTGCAGGATTCCATCTGTCCCTATTTCCACTTTCATTACAAACTCAAGCTCGTTCCAGTAAGGGCAGATTCACAGAGGCCTGAGAGCACGTAGAGCCCGACTTCCCACAGTAAGCTGTAGGCAGGAATGCCACAACCTTCCTTACCGAGCAGGGTAAACATTGCACAGGAGCTGGTGGCAGAGCAGGACAAGAATAGGGTACTGGAGCGTCTCTCTCTATGCTAAACCAGAGCTTCTCAAAATTGAGTGGACATTGGAATCACCTGGAAGTCATGTTAAAACACAGGCTGTTCAATCCTGACCTTGACATTTCTGATTCAGTAGGCGTGGAGTAGGTACAAGTTTTTGTTTCTAACAGGTTTCCCGGTCATTCTGTTGCTACTAGTTCAGGGACCACACACTGAGAAGCATTACGCTAAACCTTTCCAAAGCCACCAAATTAATAAAAGAACATCAGCAGGGGTTTTCTCATACTGAATTGCACAGAAATGGTCCTTGCCCTTTAAAGGGAGGTGTATCTTGTCTCTGTCCATAACCTCATTATTTCCTCTGTCTAGCACATCTTTCCTTCTTTGCGTATTGAAATGTTATTTTATCCTCCATGGCACAGTTGCAGCACTGTCCTCTTCCTGAATCTTTCTTGACTCCTAGATCAGTTAGGCAAGCAATAAAACTCAGCCAGCAGGGGCTTAAACAATAAAGATATATATTGGCTCAAGATTGGGAGTGGCTTTGGGGCTAGTTTAGTGACTGGAATGGGAGGCACCAGCAACCTTTCAAATAGAAACCTTTCACCAGTGAACAAAAAAAAAAAATCCCTACAGCACACCTGTGGACTTCATCGTATGCCTGTTGGTTAGAACTGTGTCTCATCAGCATCCTGAGTAGAAACAAATTCTGGGGAAGTGGATTTATGCCAAAACGTTAGACAGATTGACTCAGACTGTTTATGTGTTTTTTCCTTTTAGGCAAGCAGGGAAGGCTTGGGAGCATTGGCCTGTAGGGTAATGAAGCAGCACAGTCTGCCACAGTCCCCTTACAGGAGGCCCTTCCACGGTTAGCATAGTGGCAGTTAAGAGCATAAGCTAAAGGGTGTTTACCTGGGTTTGGATCCTGGCTTCACCCTTTCTTGCTGCCTGACTTGGGGCAGCATTTGCTGTTCCACTTCTCTGTGTCTCTGTTTCCTCAGCTGTAATATAGTGAAAAGAATGTCACCTTCCCTCAAAGGTTACTGTGAGCATGAAATGTGAAGAGTGAGAAGCAAATAGTAAGTGAGCTTAGTAAATATAAGCTATGATTATTATGTCATCTCTGTGGTACTTATAATTTCTTACTTTGTATCTACCAGTCATTCAGGTATTTATTTATTCCTTTATTTTTTCCACAAGCATTTGTTGACCATGGGCCATATTTATGACAGGGCAATTTGATACTCATGGGAGATCAAGTTTCTTTGTTGTTTTTCATGCTGAGTGAGAAATTGAGATGCCCATGGCGAGCTAGTGTGGGTTCTCAGCAGCTTCTCTGCTGAGAAATAACATTGCAGGGTTCCAGCTCCCACCCCATGTCTCCTCCATGAAGTTACCCCTTTCCTTGGCTCTCACTGCATACTCAGGAACAAACCCGAGCCATATGAGTCTTGGATGAATACCATTGTATTGGAGAATTACAAACACTAAGATTTCCTGTTTCATGAGGTGAACCTAGGCGAGTAGTTAAAGCCCCCAGACTATTGTGGATATAGCAAGATGTTTTCCTCACATGGCTCTAGGTATGTCTGACACAAGGCACTAAGGATTCCTAGGATGAGCTGCATGAACTCAATATTAGCTGGCTAGGTGGTGGCAGAGATGGTCCAGAGAGGTTTTGAGGGACAGGCATGGGGGTCCAGAGAGGATGGAAGGACAGGCTGTTCGCAGAGTCTCCTGAGAATTGTCTGGTATGCTAAGAGGTGTAACCCTAACCTTAATCTTAGAGCAGCAGAGAAAACAGGTTTGAATGAGACCTTATCCTTACTTTGCCAATTTGCATGATCTAACCTTCAGCTGAAAGACACAGGAGCTAATATTTATAGCTTTAATCCATGTCCCTTTTTCATTATTTATGTGTTTGAGTGTACGTATGCATATATGTGTGAATGAATTATTTGAGAAGCCAGCCAGGAGAGCTCATGAAGTAAAGTTCTTTTCTTTGTTTTTTTTGTTTGTTTTAGAAATGGCATCATATTAAAGCATTCCTTTTGTTTCTTGTTCTGAATTTCATTTGCAATGTGGAGTGACAGGACAGATTATCTCTCGGGGCTTTGGTTTCTTTTTCCAGAGTAGCAAAGTGATACAGGTCATCATAGTTCCAGAATTGTGAAAAAGCTCAAGGCATGGCATAGAGCACTAAATTCTTTCTCTCTGTGTGTGTGTGTTTTGATTTGTTTCATTGTTTTGTTTAAAGCCTGCTAAGGTTTCCTGAAGGTAAGTTAAATATTAAAACCTCTAATTGGATACCCGTGATCCTGCCTTATCCCAGCTACAAGGAGGACTATTGCTCTCTTGTTAAATTAAGGAGGACAAAAGTCTTGCTGTGGGAAAGTAGAATAACAGGCCTGGCTGGGTAAGCACTGAGGTTTACAATGAGATGGCTGTGCAGGTCTTGAAGGGTCTGCTAGGGAATAATCAGTCTTTATAGGAAAACTCAGACAGTTGTTCTCTGTTAGTGCCATGGACAATGGGACTCAACTGTCAAAGAGAGAGGATTTTAGGAAAACTATCTCTGGCAAAGTTTCTTGTAGAATGCTACAGAATTAACTCTTTCAATTTAACAAAGATACCATTGATGGACACCAAACCCAGTTCTAATTCTGTGGGGACAGCTTGGCTCCTCATATTTTTTTCTTTGTTTCTTTCATAACTTCTAAGATGGTCAAAGTTGGTGAGTATTAGAGAACAGAAAGAGTCATTCATGGGGCACTAGCAGAGCCAAACACTAGACACTGAAAATTGCAGTGAAGAAAGATAGGCAATTTTTTTTTTTTTGACAAATGGCACCACGCAGGAGAATGGGAAGCTAATGCTCAAAAGCCTGAACTCCTCCATATCGTGTAGGTCGTGGACTATGTTTGGCAAAATCACAAGACGTGGTGGGTAAGGGATTTGAGGCCATGCTGGGAGCAGATTGGTCAGAGGTGAGGTAAGGGTAATGAGTCATTTTTTTAAGTCTTGAGGACAGCTCTGAGGCTTTATCCAGTATCATCTGCTTGGTCTCATGGGAAGGTAGTTGGGGGGTTTATCCACTTTGGGGCCCAGGGACTGAAACATAACTTTGGTCAAGCTGTTACCTTTAACCTGCCAGAGGTCCAGGCCTTGTGACCATTAGTCGGGTCCAGGACACTGCCTTCTGCTGCCTTGGGGGCTGCTGCTTATCCCGGGGAAGGGTAGGTCTCTGAGACGCGGGTGCGCGGGTGTGTGGGCGCGCGGGTGCTAGTGCGCATGCACACAAACACACAGAGATTCTTTCTAGAGCTAGGATTCAAAAGAAAATTTAATCAAAATCATAAGGATCTTTGGTTCCATGACTAAACATAATAAAAAGGAAAAATTAACATAATAACCGCTCATGCCCTCTGTATTGTAACATAACTTGGGCTCCATTTTGAGGCTAAGTCAAAATAAAATGGCAGTCCAAAACATTTCCAAAAAGATGTATCTTGTAATCTTAAAAAAATGCATTGCAATTGTTTGTAGGTGACCGTTGAAGGTATATGTGAACAGTGCCACAGTATGGTTTCGGAAGGGTAGAAAAAGGAGGCAGCTAAGCTATGGCATGCCCTGCACTCTAAGGGGAAGGAATTATTATGACAAACCTAAGAGGAAGGATTTAACTATTTCTAATCACTGACGCTGAGATAGGGTAATTTGTCCAGAGTAGGTGTCAGAACTGGAATTCAAAACCAGATCTGTTCTACTCCAAGACTATGGCCTATTCCAAGTTTGCTGAACTCTGTTTATGACTGTGCTGTGACATGCCAGGGTGTACCAAAGCCACACCATACATGTGGCTCATCTTTCTATAGGGTCAATTTCATTTGGTGGTAAGTAACTTCAAATGTCATTTTATATTAAATTAAATATGGATGTGTTATGGAATGGACTGCAAAGTTTGAATGATTTTAAGTTCAATTTATATATGAGATTCAGAAGAAATGTCATTCTTGAGGCAGGCTACTTCAAGCTATGTACTTCTTGAAAGTATACTTCTTTCTTCTACCAGGAGCATTTCTTAAGTGGAAAAGTTTGAGAGGCGAAGACCTGACATGTGAAATCTCCTTGGATCTGTTTGTCCAAGCTGAAGTTCTTTGTCAAGTTGAATTGAAGCAGCCAATGCAGTAGTGCTTATTAGAGTCTATGGAGGGCCCTAACCTAAAAACGCTTAACCTCTGGTTGTTAAAAGCAACTCTTTTATTTTGCAGGAGGTCATTATTGAAAACCGAGCCCTGTGGATAATAATCAAAAGGTGTTTTGGCTATCGATCAAAAAGCCAGTATCGGATATGGCACAGAGCCTTGGCAAATGACCCCAGTTGGCCCCCGCTCAACCACACATCCCACCCTGACCTGCCAGGGCACGGCGGGGGAGTGTCTTACAGCAATCCGGTGTTTGAGAGCAATGAGGAATAACTCTGAAGGCAATGGGATATTCAAGTTGATAAAACATAGAAACAATGACAAAAGGGAACAGTTTCAGTGATTTTTTTTTTTAAGCAATAAAGACTCTTACAACATCAGAGGAGATTTTTGGAATCAAAAACCTATTCAGTCATAGTGACAAAGTAAAGTCTGCTTGATAAAATACTTTACACAGAGCAGAACACTGCCCCAGGAGGGTGTTCTCCTCTTGGCCTCTGAAAGCAGTAGAGGTGCTTTGTGAGTCAAGACTGGGCCAAGGATGGCAATGACCCCAGCAACTGGAAGGCCAAAGCAGAAGATGAATTCTTTCTTCTTAGGTAACATATTTTTTTAATGAGTTGAGGGAAAGTAGTGCTGTGTGTAGTCATAGAATCGTAACATGTGAGATCATTTTTTAACTCATTTCATTGATGGAAAAACAAATGCGGGGGAACCATCACACCAATATTCACTGTCAAGTTTCCTTTCCTTTGTAGTACTTTTCAGAGCTTAGACATTTCCTGCTACTTCTGGCCTTCCCCTGCATATTAGTAGGCTACTGCTGCAGTAACAACTTCCATATCTCAGTGGCTTAACATACTAGAACTTCTCCTTTGGTCAAGGGGATGCTTTAGAACAGTGGTGACTGCTTTCATCAGATGGCTCCACCCACTCAACAACAGAACTCCATGTTTACTGTGCTAGGGGAAGAAGAGACTAGAGATCACACGAGGGCTCTTCCCTGTCTGGTGCCCAGAGTGACGTGTCTCTCTTCCACCACTCCCATGTCATTAGCCAAAGATTGGCAGAGGACTTGGGAAGTACAGTCCCCTGTGTTTAGGGCTGGCATCGTAGGCATACGACCTGTGCTATCACACGGGGCCTATATTTTGAAGGAACCCACTCTTGGTTTAATGCTCTGCTGTGGCATTCTTAAAATTCTTTGAATAAAGGTCTGCACATTCTCATTTTGCACCAGGCCCCACACATATGTAGTTGGTCCAGCTTGTATTTCTGGAAAAGATGGGAACATAACACGTGTCAAAGAGCGCTGGTGCTGTCCACTAATCCCTGCATCTCCTGACCCTGGGAACTCTGGAGTTTTAAGAACCCTCATCTCACATGCCCAACTCCAGAAATTTTTACTCCTCTTGCTTTATTATTTTTGATAAAAGTTACTCCTGTTCTACCATATAATATGTTACCATAGACGTAAGTCCTCATATTACCTACATATTTCTTAGGTTTGAGGCTTCAGTTTTCAGAAACAAAAAATTTCCTCTATTTCATCACTATTACAGTTTGGTTTTACTGGATGTATTCAGCATAGAAAACACCCAGGTTTCTGTTCACTCAGCAGACAGTACTGAATTCTAGGAGAAAATCGACAAATATTATTTTAAAGCAAAAGCAAAGTTTTTGTTATGAATATCAAATCCTAGATGAATGCGGTGGGCAGAGTTGAATGTCCTGGCCCAGGACAGATGGCTGGCTTTGCTACTACCAACTGCATCTGCAAACTTTCCTTTCCCTGGATGAACTCCTGAGCATGGCTGGTGGCTCCATGACTACAGATAATTCTGAGAACAAGGAACCATGAAGGTACCTTGTTGCTCTTGGTTTTAAAATAAGGTGCAAAGAATCATTAAAATAGGTTGCAGCACATTGTCTCCCTTAGTACGGACAGAAATGTTTCCATTTACAAAATCAGCCTTAGCAGTGATATGGCAGCTCTGAATCTTTTCCTAAAATTGATAGTTTTTCTTATTTTTCAGAAGTGGGGGACTGAGGGCAGGGCAAGGTGGAGATGGTCTACTTCCTAGTGACAGGCAAGAGCAACATGCACATCAATAAATCAACAAAGTGTTGGCAAGGATGTAGAGAAAAGGGAACCCTATGCATGCTTGGTAGGAAAGCAGACTGGTGCAGCCACTGTGGAAAGCAGTGTGGAGACATCTCAAAACACTAAAAATGGAACTACCTTAGGACCCAGTGATTCCACTTTTGGGAATATATCTGAAGAAAACCAGAACACTAATTGGGAACAATATATGCACCCTTATGTTCATGGCAGCGTTATTTATAATAGCCAAGATTTGGAAGCAGCCCAAATGCCCATTAATAGATGAATGGATCAAAAAGCTGTGGTAAACTTACACAATGGAATACTACTCAGCCATAAAAAAGAAGGAAACCTTACCTTTTGTGACAGCATGGATGGACCTGAAGAATATCATGCTAAGTGAAATAAGAGAAAGGCAAGTACCACATGATTTCACTTATATGTGGAATCTAATGAACAAAATAAACTAACAAACCAAATAGAAACAGGCTCATAGAGAACAGACTGATAGCTCTTGGAGGGGGCGGTTGGGGGCCTGGGTGAAAAAGGTGAGGGTATTAAGCAAAGGACGAAATCCTTAAAGACACAGATGACAGGGACCAGTGGAAAAGGGAGGTTGGGGAGGTAGAATAGAGGAAAGGGGAGATACATGTGATGAAAGAAAATGTGACTTGGTGTTGTAGACACACAATAAAATATACAGATGATATGTTATAGAAGTGTATACCTGAAACCTATATAATTTTATTAACCTATGTCCCTCCAATATATTTAACAAAAATTAAAAAAATAAAAAGAGCAGCACACACAACTCATACTTAGAATACCTCGCCAGATAATGTCGCCTTCACTAGCTCATTTGATTGCACAGTTCTTCTGGACTCAGAGCAGGAAAGGCTTACCATCCCCACTTTACAAGTGAGAAACCAGACTCGAGCTGAGGAGAGCAGACCTGAGCTGCAGACACAAGCTTCTCAGAAAATCTTCTGTTTCAAACCTCCAACAGGGCCGGGGGCTTGGTACGATCTCAGTCAAACAAAGAATGAGTTTCTTATTCTCCAGGTAGAAGGAGGCAATCTTGTGCTAATACCTGGGCCTTCTGTTCAGATCAATTCTTGCCAGACTTGGGCTAGAGGTGTACTTAAAACAACACGAAACCACAACCTGCCAGTGTCTGCTTGTCTTTCTGGGATTAAATTGCTCTGGCCGTAGTCCTAAGTGATTCGATCCTCAACAATTTGCACATTGCTGGCAGGGAATAGGGATGGAGGACATCAGTCTCCCACCAGCCGAACAGTCCTAAAATCTTTGACAAAAGGGACTCATTCTGAAGACCCTACTTGAGACTAATTATATCTCAGAGGCAATAAATGAAGGAGCAGGAAGTGCTTACTCTGGAAAAATAGGGAGTCCCGGCATGCGAGAATTGTATTTAAATACTTGAAGGATTACCGTGGGAAAGAATGCTCTGACCTGTGCTCAGTGGCACGACTAGTGTATGAAGAGCACAGCGGGAATGTCTTTGGGCTGACTCAGGGACACCTGTTCTTACAGTACTGATGAAAGAGGCAGCTGGTGACCTCCAAGGTGTGTGCTCTGTGACATGGGAGGTGCAAGCGGATATTCAAAACCGATTACAGGAAGAAGTCAAGTATAAAATGAAACTCAATAACCTGCCAGATCCCTTTCAAACTGGATAGGCCCCACGTCTCAGTCTTACACTGCAATGTAAACCATTTGCAGCTGCTGCCCACACGGAACATCAGACTGGCCCACATGGCGAGATGGGCTGGGGAGGGTGGCTCTCGCCCAGCTCTGTGAGGTCCCGCGATATGGACAGGTAGGCTCAGCAGCTCTGTACCTGGGAAGGTGGCTTCTAATGGGAGAAAAACCTAAGAAAGACGTGCGGAGTGAGGGGCCCTGCCTGCTAAATTGGCAGCTGTGGAATTCTAATATGCGTATTTTCTTAGAAATAGGTGTTTGAAAATTTTGAGGAAAAGGACATGAGAGAGAGCCCCAACCCAAAGGCAGAGTTACCTGTGCCCAAAACACTTTTCCGATCAGGACTTGGAGGAGAAAAGGACACAGTCCCCGATCCAAATCAATTGTGAGGGTCCCCTGTATGTCCATGCCAAGGTAAACCACTCTTACACACAGAGAAGACCCCTGACTCTGGACTCTCCTCACAGAATATGGAGCGATCTGCGGGTGGGAATTTTCTTGTGCCATCTGTGTCCTAATGCACTCACACCAGTGTGCGTGTGCCCACTTGTAGGTGTGATGACTGTAAAAAGTGATTATTTATTCAGAGCCATGTGTTTAGTTTACTATGTAATAAATGATTCTGTATGAAAAAAGTCAAGTAAAATCTAATTCTGTTGTTCTAAAATCAACCTCTCTCTCTTTTTTGTAGTGGAGCCTTTCACTCTGGCTAATAAAATGATACGGTCTATTCCAGTAACATTGGATCAAAGCAACATCTTTACAAAGTTCTAGTCATTTCTTAACACTGCAGAGGCTATTATTCCTGGCTTTGTACATAGGACATTAAGAGTATACAAAATATTTTATACTCGTTTTCTCATTTAAGCCTCATAATGATATTAGGAGGAAGGCCTATCCTCCTCAAGGGTTATTATCCTCCTCATTATGATGAGGTACCAGACCTTTCGAAAGGCTCAGTAACTTGTCTAAGGACAACAGCAAGTGAGTGGAGGAGTGGGAGCTGAATTCAGACCCAGGACCTTTGCGTGCAAGTTCTCTGCTATGTCTCTCCCATGTTGTTTCCTCTGTATGAAATGTTTGTAGCACTGCAAAACAAGGAGGCGAGAAAGGCACCCATCCAATAGATTGCCATCATGAATGTAATTTCCTTTAGAAAGAGTTTTTAGTTTTTACATATATTCTCTTGAACCTGACCATCAGTCACGGAAGAGGTCAACTCCCACTGCTGAGAGAATAAAATCATAAAACCAGAGAGACCAAATCTCTGCGTGAACTTTGCTCAGCCTTGCTTTGTACAGCATTTTAGGGTCATGTAGAGTCTCTCTTGGTTTGAACTATACTTACTCCTTTATACATAAAAAACTTGAGAACTGCTGCCACACAATATTCTGTCTGCACTTTAGTTTCCATTAGATTTGTTAAAATGACCCTTTAAACTTTATCAAAAAAATGACTTCCCCCCCAAATTGCACATACATACAAATAACAAGAACAAAATATACCCCGCCCGGACTTGGTGAGAGAGCCTTGGCTTTCCCCGACACACCA